GAGTAAGAAGAATAACGCAGTATTTTGCTAAACAAAACCTATACCTAATGCACGAGAGTAAGACCTGCATTTGCCCAATTTTACATTAAAAGATTAACAAAAATAAAAATAAAAATTTATAAACATTTTCATTTGAACATTGTTTCGGCCAACAAAATATTACTAATATGTTATTAATTTTGAAAAAAGTTGGGTAATATAATAATTTAGTAGTAATTCTAATAACATCATAGAAAACTATGTACATTCATTAAATGTTGCAGTTATAAAGTCTCCCACTAAATTTCAAATACGTTGGGACATTAACCATCTAGTTCCATGGTAAGCTACGAGGCTTGTGTTATGGATACCAGATAGTTGATACACTACAAATATATAAATAAATAAATATTCATTATCTGTACAATCAATTTTTTGGAATTAAAACTACGTAATAAATATTTTTGGAGTTATTTTAATGAATAAAATAGCGCTATTAATATTATTATTATTTCAATATAAGCTTTTTTAATAGTTGTTACCATATCTAGTAAGTTACCTTGCTAAAATGCTTATAGTATCATCGTGGTTTCATTCTAACCAGTTTTTGTATTTTTTCTCAGAAATGAGATAGATATTTTCCCGCTGTAAAGATTATCCTATATATTGACCCGGATAACCATACCAAATTTCTTCAAAATCCCTCCAGTGGTTTTTCTGTGATGCGGTACAAGCAGACAGACAGACGGACGGACGGACGGACGGACGGACGGACGGACGGACAGACAGACAGACAGACAGACAGAAAAAATCTAAAAACTATACTAACTATATATAGTGTCGATAATAATGTCTATTTCAATAAGATTGTCCAAAAAATATTTAATGTACAGATTCGACTCAGAATTTTATTATAATATTATGTATTTTATTATATAGAGTACGGCAGATAAGAGGCACACCCCTTTAAATTAAGATTTTATTGTTATTTATTACTTTACGTATACCTCACTAAATATTATGTATAATAGGCATATAAAGTTTATTTGATTAATTATGCTCCATTAATCGCTTTGTCTTATTTAGGTTAATCATACGTACCATTAAATGCGAAAGTTTAGCGAAAGGTTGTGTGTGTATGCTTATAACTCTTTGACGCTGAAAAGTCTTGGCCGATTTGGATAAGATTTAGTACACAGATAGATCAAGACCTCTAGGTCAAGGTAACAAATAGACTACTGATAGTAATGAAAATCGCCTAAAGATGGCATTTCTTGTTTTAAAAAAAATAGTATACCTAGGAGCGCCCTCGAGTGAAGGGAGGGTAAGTCGCTAGTATTATGGATAACGGCTAAAATTGTAAATAATATCTAGATTAATCACACTGTGTATAACATATTATATACCTTCAAATTAATCTTGAAGTAATACCTGCCACAGTACTCATACCTGGTAAAAATTGCATCATTCTAATCATATGGTCATTAGCAGATCTTCCAAATGAATCAAATAAGTCGTAAACTGTAAGCACTAACACCTGTCCTAAAATGACAGCTAAAAATATAACACAAGTAACGACTCATCCTCGCTCCGCTCGGGTTCGTCCCTAGTTACATTTTAACATTTAGTGTAGATTTCTCAGAGATGAGATATTTTCACGCAATAAAAAGTATCCTATATGTTGACCAAGATAACCAGATTTTATCATAACTTTCATAAAAATCTGTCCAGTGGTTTTCTCTTGATGTATTCCCAGACAGACGGACCGTCAGACAGAAAGACAGACAAAAAATCTAAGAACGATGTATTCTGCTTCTGTATCGATAATAATTATTATTTCAGTAAGATTTTCCTAGCGATTCATCCTCGCTTCGTTCAAGTTCGTCCCTATGCATGTGCGTTTTAACGGTTAGTATGGAGTAGATCTAAATACCTAGCCTAAATATCTAGCCAGACGATTACGGCAGATCCATATTTTCAACAATTACTAGCCATGATGAAAAAGCTAGCCGTTAAATAACCGAGATTGGTCAATTGCTCTAGCTCACTGCTGCTTGGCCTTCTCCTGCTAAGGCCAACGCTAGACCACATACTGCACAACAGATGGTCACTAAATTAGAAGAGCTGCAATTGGAATGTCTCCGATACCCACCATACTCCCCGGACCTTGCTTCCAACAGATTACCACTTTCGTGGCACGTTAAAAAAAGCAAACAAAAAACAAACAAACACACTTTTATATTTATAAATATGAGTATGGATAATCACAGGCTCAGGCACACTCCACACACACACACACACACCGTGTGATATAATTCATAATTTATTTCAAAAAAAAGTACACGAAAAAGAGCTTTAAAAAAATATAAGCCGACTTAAAAAAAGACTTAAAAGTAAAAAATACCCGATTGGCAGCTTTTATTTAGTATAGATATCTAATTAGATATTTTCGAAGTCGGTGTGCTTTTTTGAATTTACATCGTCTGGCAAGGACTTCGAAAATATCTGATTAGGTATCTATAAAAAAAATGTATAAATATAAATGAAAACTAACAATCAATTATTATTTTTTACTTTTTTGTGTTTTTTTTTGAAGTCGGTTTGAATGTTTTTTTAAGTTTTTATTTTTTGCATTTTTAGTCTAGACATAGTAGTAGCAAAGAAAGAAGAACGTAGGTATTTTAAAAATTCTGTAGCTGAAAAATCAATCATCCCCAATTTTTTACTATTAAGGGTAAATATTTTTTTCAAATTTTAACGGGACCAACTTTGAGGAGTAACCCTATCCAACAAAAAAGAATCATCGAAATCGGACTACACTGTAAAACGTTATGGGTGGTCAAACATAAAAAAATAGTTATATAAATACGTATCGAATTGAGAACCTCCTCCTTTTTTTCTTCGGTTAGAAAGATACCATAGATACATCGATAAAGACGTCGATAGCATTGTGCCACATCTGTTTTCTTATATGATCTCTCATTTATTTTCGTTTTAGTATGTTCACCTGTCGACAGATGGAGCCAAAATAATAAAAATACTAGAATAGGGATGAAAACGTCAAGGTCAGGAGAGAACATAATTCATCATCAATCATTTATTCATACCATATGAACTAATGTGACGTCACAATCAGAAAATATAAAATAAAACATCTTGCAAATTGTGTTTTTTGTAGTTTTACTGTAGTTTTTAGTCTGCATCCAAATTGTGTGCTGAATAAATGTTTTAACATTAACTTGACTTGAATAGTTAAGGATTGAATTGCGCTTTATTTTATTTATGCAGGTGTGTTCTTATGTGCCGGGAACGCTAAACATACAAATAAATAATACTGAACGATATAATTTGTGCATGCGTTTGTGTCATCAGCAGGTAAAACCTACAATCAGGTATAGTTAACTATACCTGATTGTAGGTTTTACCTGTATGGCAATATCTTTACTATCTATAGGTAGAAATGACAATATCTTTACTATCTATAGGTAGAAATTATTATATTATTTTTGTGCGTATGAGGAAAAAAAATTACTTACAAAAATGAAAAATCCGACTACTTGAATGGCGAACTAACAAGATGAAAACAAGTTGACGTAGGAACATAGAATCATGCAGTCGCAGACATACACACACGCAGATATGTATGTCTCCGACTGCATAATACTAATAGTGACTAGTATAGAATTGAGTGTTCTGTTATAATTCCTTTCTAAACTTGTTTTAATCTTTTTAGTTCGCGTTTTACGCAGTCTATTTTTTATTTTTGTAAATATATTTTTTATTTATGGTTTTTTAGCATTTTTCATTCCAAATTATATTTAAACAAATAAGTTGTATATATTTTTGTAAGCTATTTATTAAACCCTTTATGTTGACTCGACAGGTTTTGAGCTTTAACTCGGCAAATTTAAATTTTATAATTTTGATATACCCATTATACTCGACGTTTTTATTACCAAAGAACTATGCATCATACAATACTTATTATAGAACTTAAACTATCATTAAATAGTTTTCCAATCACAAAAGTGTACTCATCAAAACAAGTTTATCTCATTCCTCGACTCTAGTTCCGGATTCGAGTCATTGACCGAGCGTCGTCGGAAATAGATACTGCCATAGTGTTCCGGCTACCATAGAGTATTATTAAAGTGCCCTTGGCACTTGGATTATTAGTTTTTCTATTTAACTAAGTTTATATGTGAGGGAAAATTTTGATTATATATTTGTTAAGTAAACAATGCTACAATCTTCAACTGTTTTGTTTACTTTTTTATTTATATATACCTACAGGGGGCAACAACGCAACGTTCAACGCAGTAGCAATCACGGTGTTTTCAGACGACTTGTTTCCTTCGTCTACCAAAAACTTTTCAATTTTAAATATTTATGAGTTAAGTTCGTTTTAGTTTCTGCATATACTCTAAGAGAAAGATAAGTACTAGTGGGTTCAATAAAGATACGTTAGATATGATGATGATAATATTATGGTTTGTTGATGATTGTTGAGCCACCTTTTTCTTGCGCTATCTCTTAACTCAAAACGCTATATACAAACGTTATTGAACTGATCACGATTTTTTTAGGTCAATTAAATAGAATATTTATATTTATTTTTTACTCTAGTATTTTGTGTAAAAGGATTGCATTATAAACTTCTAAAATGAATGCACAAATAGTGCAGTTAGTTGCAGCATAGCCGAAAGCTCACGACGACAGCACTGAATATGTACATATGTGTCATCATATTTTACGGTACTAGACAAGCATTAGGCAAATAAATAGTAGTCTTAATGAAAAACAATGCATTCGCTATAAATAATGATAAGCAACAGCCTAAATGAGTTACAGCATAAATATAAAATTGACAACCTACATCGAATTTGTAGTCGATCACAGCGGTCAGGTCCATGGTCGAATCAAATGAACTTGTACGATAAACATTAAAGACTCTAACACGATAATAGGGATAAAGAGAGGACGAGTGGGTTCGCGATACCGCGGTGTACCCAGTACCGTGCATGAGTCGCGCAACTGACAACGAGGGCGAGTCACAAAAGCTAACGGTGTCCGACGTACAAGATAGTATTCGATTCGAACGCGGTCGTAGAGTTCCGCGAGTAGGTGGGTCGGCTGATCTCTCCAGTGGCAATGCACATCCGGGCCGGTCGATACGGGCGGCGACTTGCGCGCTGCCGTCCTCGTCGCTACCCCTCGGCCCTCGCGTCTTCGAGTCCCCCCACGACGGCTCACATCGATTCGTGCGCTTGATAATTATTAACTGCTTATTGCGAAAATATATCCTCCCTTATTGGTAATAAAATTCGTTGAACTCACATTTTCCCTCCAATTTTAAAATATACTGTTAATTTAATTATATATTATTACATTTAATAATATGGAGAAAATAACGTTTTTTCAGAACTAAAGTATAGAAGAATTTAATTTATTTTGTTACCATCTGAAATCACCTAGATATTGTTCAAAAAAAAGTTTTTTTTTTGTGATTACATTCTTTATCAAAATGTTTAACAGTTGAAATTTTATAAGTCTAGTGACTTTCAATTTATAATTTCCCATCCTTATACCATTTAAGGCGTAGCCGCGCAATAAATTGCTATTCAGATTGTATATTCAAGCGGAAAAGTGGCAACGTGGGCGGCAATAGGAGGCAACTTGATAGAAACATCTCATTAACTTATTGCGTCATGTAAACTTTAAAACTATAATTAATTATAGTTGAAAATAAAATTAAGTTAAATATGATATATGAAGTAAGTAGATTTTTCATTTCGTCCGCACTTATCGAACCAACAGATGGATTATGAATAAATAATTTGGCAAACAAATAAACGTATTCAAAAAATTAGGCTGCACATACTACACTTAAACTAAAAAGATTCACATATAAAATATATAACCAAATGGCAAATAGAATGGCAAATATGTTTTTCAAATACGGCAGAGATATTAATAAATGTAAAGGTTATATAGTTGTTATACATCTCTGCCATACACTAAGCTGTGCCAAAGGCTGCGGGTTCGATTAACGTTAATGCTTTCTTTAATCAACAAATGTTAGTTTGTGTAAAAGCTACGAGTGGTTGTGACAATTTTCACCAAAGATGTAGTAGTATCACGATATACGTGCAAAGTAGAGACTAGAGTGAACGAGTGACGTCAAGTTATATTATGCACCCCGCTGATACTAAACCTAAACCTAAATTATGTAAATAAACCTAAATACGAGTACATATAGAGAGAAAACCTCTAAATGAAAACTGTTGCTGAATAACTTCTAATTAAGATTATTCTACGGTATAATTAACTTGTATAAAGTTCGTCTCCTATTTCTCACCTCGTCGGTTTCAGTAGTCATTTATTTTATGAAAGTTAAAATGATGTCGTTACTATATCATATCTTGAGGCTACGAGTATAAGTTGATATATACCCAAGAGAACAACTTTATGGTTTTGATCTAAAAGATCAAGATAATATTTTTATCATAAAATTGATGTAATGAAAAACTTACATAAAATCGAACATGAAGTGAGAAATCTATAAAAAAGGAGGTAGAATATAAAAAATGACATTTTGCCTTATAAACCTCTCAATTACACGGTGTATATGTGACGTTTGTGACGTGCCATAATATAGTAATATGTGGATTATTAATTATAATTTATTAATATTTTTACCGCCTTAATTATAAGCATAACATCATCGCGGCGTATCCGGAAAATCTGTAGCGCACCAAATATCGACAGTTTACGATTAATTTTCGCTTACATCCAATTTATTTATATTATACATACTATGGTCAACTGTCAAAAATAAGCTCAATTGACTATTTATTATATAGGACACTACAAAATTTGATATTTAATAAATATAATATTTCCTTAGTAATCAGAAATGTATCTAAATATCTAATCTAAAAAAGACAAAAACGACTTGAGCTTCAAATAAAAGTATTTGTTCATTAGTTTTTTGAAAGGAAAATTGAACGAATTTTTTTTAAATGTAAACGCCCACTTGAAATTGGAGGTGATTTTGAGCCTCTCGAGACCATAAAACTTACTTTTCTCAGAAATGGCTAAACATTTCAATTTCATTTTTTTTATTTATAGTATGTATTTCGAATTGATTACATTTCCTTAGTTTCATGGAAATCAAAAGATTATTTTAAAAATTAAAAATAAAAAACCAAGAAAAACGGAGCAAATATCTCGAAAACTTTGAGGTTATTGTAAAAAGTGTTATTTATAAAAGTTGTAAATTTTTACTTAACCTACAACTTTTGTAGAAAACATTTTTCGATAGAACGTCACAGTAAGCCGGAAATTGAAAAAACTATTTTTCAACGCTTTGCGTCCCCCTATTTCTTGGGGGTAGCTGGGCAGCTGAGGCATTTTACGAATTTATATTCCTTCTATACCTGCTAACATTTTAAAATCATAAAACTTTAGGTTTTCAATAAAAAAATCCCTTAAAAATAAACGGATTCCGATTGGTCTAACATGGTTTAATGGTCATAAATCTCTTACATCAACTGCAACGTATTCAACATATAATTACTATCTACGTTTTCATTTATCACATTTAACTTTTTCGCTTGACGTTAACTAAACATTTTTAAGTATTTTATTTCAAACCAGCAACGTTCTAACTAGGTTACGTTTTAACGTTTAGTATAGATTTCTCAGAGATGACTTGTTATATATATATATATATATATATATATATATATATATATATATATATATATATATATATAAATCCCTCCAGTGGTTTTTCCGTGATGCGGTAACAGACAGACAGACAAAAATTCTAAAAACTATAGATTTGGCCTCTGTATCGATAATAATGTCTATTTCAATAAGATTTTCCAAAAAATATTTAATGTACAGATTCAACTTAGTTACAATTTTATTCTATGAATAGATTATTATTTTTGAGAATTCATTCGTTTATTTAGTGTCAATGAAGTAAATTGGCAGTTAGTGTGGTGAATTGTAACCTAACATAACCAGTTCAATATTTGCATATTGATTTTGCAGTGTTTCGAACTTCACAGCTTTGTTGTGTGATTGCTATTGGATGTGTCAGTGTCAGTGCTAATGTATCTGAGCGTTTAACAAATTGATTGGTTACAACAATATAAAACTATTACTAAATTTTTCATTAGATATTCCATGTTAAAGAAAGTACTCGAGGTTCGAAATATCAAATATTTCTTTAACTGTTATAATTAATTTTATATATTTATATTTAAGAGTTTACAATTTTAAGAAAGGATCGATTTTAAATGAAGCAAATCATAAACAAAATATTTATTTTAAACGTTATTGATATTACATTTTATAGAAATTGGTTAAAAATATTTTATTAGGTACACTACAAAACGCGCACCCAGTTTAAACCAAGTAGACTAAAGTGTGGGCTGACATTTTAGTCTACAGTTTGTGTGAGGTTCTAAGCCTCCTTTGGTTGAGGGTCTCACAAGGAAGTGTGAAGCACTGTAACGGGCATGGATGTATAAACAAAAGTAGGCATCGATCAATCTAGTCGAGGTCGCGTAATAAATGGTTTGAGTATAAAATAATGTAAATCTTATAAATTCATACATATGAATAAAAACGTTATAAGATCATTAGTAGCATTACAAAACATTTATATGCTTGTAGTTTTAAATAATAACATAACAGATGACTAGTAAAAAAATCAATGAGACCTATTAGTTATTAGTATAATATTTACTCTTTAAAGGTGTATACTTTTATTTTAAAAATTATGACAAAAGCAAGAATTAAATAATAAGTTATTTCATTAATAATAAACTTAAAATGTGTACCTTATACCTATACATTATAGTGCAAATAGAATTGATGAAACTTCCAAAGTGTATCTTGTACACATATTACGGATAATAGAATTTCGTCCTAATCTACCTCTTCCTCTCGCCAAATGTATAAACAAAAACATTGTCCATGCAACAGGATAGTAGACCCTTTGTTATTCACCACAGCCAACTATTTATTGACTGTTATCAAATAACTTTCGCCTCGCCTTATTGTTACTAAGTAACATAAAAAAAGTAACTAAAATAAAATAGTTTTGCCATATTTTGTTATTTCGATAAATCTTTTGGTTTACTTTTTATTACTACCTTATTACATAGCTTCTCTTTTTATACTGCGTTAGTAGTTAGTTTAATAACAGTGGATGGGTCTGACGTATGAATCTATTCATATTCTTTTTATTTCTAAAATATATCTGATTCTTTAATCTAAATGAATTTATCTATACATATAATAAAATTTTAACTAAGTCGATTCTGTACATTAAATATTTTTTGGAAAAACTAATTATCGATACAGAGTCCGAATCTATAGTTTTTAGATTTTTTGTCGGTCTGTCTGTTATTGCATCACGAGAAAACCACTGGACAGGTTTTGATGAAATTTGTTATGATGATAGCTGGTTATCCGGGTCAACATATAGGATAATTTTTACCGCGGGAAAACATCTCACTTCTGAGAAAAAATACAAAAACTGCATTGTAAGAGTATTAAGTATACTAATATATAAAACCTAAGAATATTTTTTGGTCATCTGAACACGGGCGGAGCCGCGGGCAATGCTACTCTACACTATAATATTATAAAGAAGTAAAGTTTGTGAGTTTATGACGTAGGGGGTAATTTCTGGATCTACTGAACCGATTTAGATGAAATTTGGTAAGGTAACAATTAAAAACAATTTACTAAACTATTTGGCAGTAATGTAATATTGTTAAGTTATAAGGCAGTATACTCATTTACTTCCTTATAAGGAAGTAAATGAGTATACTGCCTATTCAATCTATTAACTCCAACCTGAGGCATGTCATTGATATATCAATGACATGCCTCAGGTTGAAGTTAATAGAGGATACTATGGCTTTACTTATTACACTGATTTTGATAACGAACCTGTAACTGTAAGTATAATGCGTGCAAATATAATGAAATCTAAAGTTATCCCACCTCCAAAGAAGACTACAGCGGCAGGTATATCCGAAAATAAAAAACGAAATATAATAAAATCATTGTAAAACATAATACCTTTTAATAGAATGGAATTTTTATAGTTTTAAAAATGTTAGAATTTCTTTATTTATTTTTTACCTTAAATTTTTTAATTTATGTTTTTACTAATGAATAAACCAAATTAGTTTAATTTCTTTTTGTAATTACCTTAAAATCAAATTTTTCAGAAAAAATCAATAAATTTAACTCCAAAATCGATCAAAGACTAATAATATATCGATAAATTTGAAAAAATAATAACTTAAATAGATTCTACGGCAAAAAAATACAAAAGCTATAATTATACTATGTATACTTTGCGTAAATTCCAACTTTTATTATTTTTTCACGACTCGTCAAATTGAAAAGTTGGAATGTTTACGGCGGATTATGTAAATACTTACGCGTTAGATTAAAAAGTTAAGGATACCACTTTTTCGTTTTTTTCCCGAAAAATACATTGATGTAATCAGTTTATAAAAATTTGGTCAATGAAGTCACTTCTTCAATGATAATTGAAAAAATGTAGTTTACAAAGTAAAAATTATCGATTTCTCCAATTTTTTAAATTTTTAATGGTGTTCTTAGAGGACGACCATACAATGTTTTTATTTTTTCAAAAAGTGGAGGTTAAGACGAAAAGAATGAGCCCTGTCTTAGCTAAGTGACCATAAAACATACTTTTCTCGGAAATAGCCAAATATTTCAATTTCATTTTTTTTTTATATTTACGAGTATTATATGTATTTCGAAGTTTATATTCCCTTAGTTTCATAAAAATCAAAAGATTATTCTAGAAATTAAAAATAAAGAACCAAGAAAAAATTTAAAACCGACTTTTCTGCAAATATCTCGAAAACTTTGAGGTTATTGTACGAAGTGTTAGCTATAAAAGTTGTAGATTTTTACTAGACCTACAACTTTTGTAGAAAACATTTTTCCATAAAACATCACAGTAACCGGAAATTGAAAAAAACTATTTTTCAACGCTTTGTGTACCCCTCATTTCTCGGGGGTAGCTGGGCACCGGGGGCATTTTACGAATTTCTATTCCTTATATACCTACTATCATTTTAAAATCATAAAACTTCAGGTTTTCTATATTTTGGTCCCAAACCGGATTCCGATGGGACTACTAAGGGAAATAGCGATCACTAAAAGAAATACCATATTATGCGTAGCGTAATAGCGGTATGTATCTCAAATAAACGCCAAAAAACTTCATAGTTAGAATTAATTAACTGACATGCCAGCGTATCCGCGACCCTTCAAGCGAAATCAATTTTCATATTTTCTCAAGTTACTGAAAATGTCTAAAAATGAATAATACCGCCTATTGCTTTCTGAATGCAGTTTATGGAGTATGGACTGACAACTTAAGAAAAGTGGAGGGCAGTGGATGAATGCGGACTGTCCAAGACAGAGATGATTGACGTTTATTGGAGGAGGCCTTTGTTCAGCAGTGGACGGCGATAAGCTGATAATATTTCACGTGAAGCGGACTACGAAAAAAAAGTGAGGTTCTGATATTCGTTCATATTAGGCATATTTGAACCTCTAGAGGCTATGGGCATGTACACATAATATTTTTTCTATTTGAGGTTTAGTTGTCAAGTTATGGGATTCTAAAGAATTGATCAGATTGAAAGAAGGGTTTTTTGTTTTTTTTTATATTGAAGTAATTAGAAATAAAATAATAAATATGGTGTTATGTCTAGAAAATTTACTTTTCTTTATGATTTTTTAATCAAATTCTAAATTTGAATCATTTTTCTAGTGTTAAACCGGAAGTAAATATTTTAAATAAAAATTTTAATAACTTCGACCATTTTATTTATTTATTTTACTGCAAAAGTAAGCTCAATATACATACATTTTATCATAACAATTACAAGATGGGACCTTAATTAGTTTAGGAGATAAATCAATTACAGTACGTACATGTCGCACTGAGCGAGGTACCTAGCGCTTGTTAAAGCTGACTGGTTGATGTGAAGACATTAAAACGTTGATTATATTTCAATAATATTGATTATGTATTATTTCCCTACTTTCCTTGTGCCTTTTTCTATTAATACATGTCTTTGTAATTACTTATTTGATATTCAAATGTACACAGATTTATAATGACCTACATTTTCTATAGGTACCTATATTAAAACAGCTGGTTGGTTGGTGTTATTGACGCTTTTTGACGAGTTTTTTTTTATATTTCTAAATGACGAAGTTATTTATTTACGCTATCTAGCTTCTAAACTCTATATTATACACTCAATATCAACTTCAAGTTTTACCACTGACTAGAAGCAAATTTTCGTGATAGACGAACACGTGATCTTAAATAGGATGCATAGTGCATACCTGTAAAATACAAACAATATTTTGAACTTCAGGTAAAGTTAGTCGTGCACATGCACGGGCAAAAATTCTCTTATAGCAAAGTATTTAAAAAATTAAAGGTATAATATTATTATATATAGGTATTATAGTAGTGTTTATTAGAGCTGTTTATTAATCAAACTTAACATTCTATTTTTAAAACTTTTAAAGGTAGGTTGGGTGCAAGCATGACTTAACAGGAAGTGAAACGAATGCAAACCGTAACACAAAAACGATGATTATTGATCAATTGCAAATTGATACAAGGTTTAAATTAGTTCATGCTTCTATGTATATATGAATTAATTATTGTTAATTTTTAAAAACATTTTATTTATATTTAGAAATAAAACTATTACTTCGTGTCGTTTCGTTTGTATGTACGTTGTGTCTAATCCGTGGATGACAAAAAAAGTCTAATCTAACAGTTATTATTTGTCTGTGCTACAGACGTCAGTTGTATTATACAGATAATTAATAAATGCTAAAGACAAAAATGTTGTAGTGCTTTAGTATAAATCGATTTAGAAACATTGCAAAGTAATAATGAAATAATATTTACAGAATTAGAACGATTTTTTAAGAAATTAATAAAAATTTACTTGTTTCAAGGACGACAAAATTTAAATCGATATAATCTTTAAAAACTTAATTATTTTTCTCTTTGCTTCACAATCACAATGACATTAATCTATAATCTGTGGTTACCTTACTACACCAAAATTGGGAAGCCGATTTATGTTTTGATATCAAGTGTTTTGTAGTTTCATTAATTTAATTTTATAAGTTTCTTTATAAAATAGGTAGTGTACCATACCACAGAAATAATGACTTGGGGGTTTGTCACCTGTGGCCCAAATGAGGCTCTTGTAGTTTCGGGTAAAGTACCTTTCATCTACTTGTAATTTTATTAGATATAAAAAATAAACAATCAAAATTTAAATAAAACCTAATAAATAGTATTAAATACTTTGATAAACAATTGGATATTTTAGCAACATTTTTTTTTAAGAATTATGCGATTATTAAATATTATATATTCTTAATGTTCCCGCAATACCTTTATAAACGCCGCTGTAAGGTGTTGACAATGCTAACATCTTAAACTATAATATTTATCTTATTAAACTCATTTAATTTTGTCAAATTTTTAAATTTTGATTGTTTTATTAGAAACTTTGATATATTCTGATAAAGACGTTTTTAATAATATACTAAATCTTTTGGATGACTCATAATATTTTAAAACATTATTTTTCCTGATACACTTACAAGGTCAACATAATGGTATAATATGGCTATCATTTGTGCTGGTAATTCTGCTGTTGTGTAATAATGTTTATATTTTATTTGGATTTGCTGTGCTTATTATTTATTTAAATTTAAACTTGTTTTACATTACATTATGGTGATTATATTGGCTTTTTGCAGAGTTTCTAACAGAAAACTAACTTTAATATAATAATGTAACTTTAACAGTGTATTATAATATGATACTTATTATCTTAATTCCATTATAAATAAATAAACAAGTGCTATATATTTATGTTTTATGTATAGCCATGTGTTTTTTTGTCTGAGCTAAGACCTGGTTGTAATCTTTTCTTTTGAGAGTAACGCTGTTCATATTTTTCACTTGTGCTGTTGCTACAATTTTCTTCACTACTTGTATACATTTTCTTTTAAACAAAAGTGGGTAATATTGATGTGTACCTTATTGTTGGTTGACCCGTTGTATTCTTTAATATTTAAAAACATGTTCATGTTTAAAATTACATCGATGGAGTATGGAATAATTTAACTCTTTTCCAAAATAATAAAATTTCCTTATACAGTGCTCTTGCATTACATTTGCAATTTGTGATTTTTGCCATTGCAAGGTGAACTTATATTATTTTAAATCAGTTATGACATTAAATGTTTAATGTGAATGATTGTTCTAATTGATGAGACAATTAGAACAAACTTGCTTCATCTTTTTGATAAATTCAAATTCTATCCAAAAAATTAATGTTATTATGCTTTTCGCGAATGTTATTGTGACAAATGTACATATAGCAAGTTTTCATAGAAACATTACTTAATTTTCATGTACCTACCATTATTTATACTTTTTAAATTGCAAGCGAAAGTTTTTTGCTGCAGATAAACACACATTAATTATATATAATTGTTAAGTTTTTATTTCATAAAATCAATATTCCTTCAGTTTATTTTTATTTACAGCATTTTATTATAAGATTGTGTTTTTATTATAAAAAGTACTTGTTAATATTGGTCAAATACTGTACAATTTGAAAAAAAACATGACAATTATCTTACAAAAAAATATATCTAATATCTACATTTATTTAACACTTCAGTGGGTTATTATGGTTTCTTAGATAGTTATACAACATGTTTTGTTATTATACAGGATGTTGCTACTCTAAACCTCTTTTGGTTCCTGGTGGAAGGGCCTTTGTATGGCCGGCGATACAGCGCGTCCAGAGAATATCCCTCAATACTATGACACTGCAGGTTGAGTCTCCTACTGTATACACTAGCCAGGGAGTGCCTATATCTGTGACTGGTATTGCACAGGTAATTAACTAAAGTTTAACTTTGATGTGTATAATCATCACTGCCACACAAAATGCACATAATAATTCATATTTTCATAAATAGTAACTTGTTCTGACTACTATACCAATTAATAAAAATCAATATGCTTATTTCCAAATACAATTTATAAAAACTATAATGTTTAGTATAGATTTCTCAGGGATGAGATATTTTCCCACAGTATAAAAGTATTTCCTAAAGTATCCTTTATGTTGATCCAGATAACCAGCTATCATCATACACAATGTCTTCAAAATCTCTCTAGAGGTTTTTCCGTGATGCAGTCACAGACAGACAAATAAAACTTCTAAGAACTAACAACTATAACTAAAATGTCTATTTCAATGTAATTTTCTAAAAAAATATTTAATGTACAGATTCGGCTTAGTTACAAATTTCTTATATGTATAGATTTAAAATTTGAGTGCTAACAAGTGTCAATTATCTAATGTGTCATGTGTGAATTATATTTTTAGGTTAAAATCCAAGGTCAGAATGCAGAAATGTTGTTGTCTGCTTGTGAACAGTTCCTGGGTAAATCTGAACAAGAAATTCAGCACATTGCTCTTGTAACCCTTGAAGGCCATCAGCGAGCAATCATGGGTTCCATGACTGTGGAAGAAATTTACAAGGATAGAAAGATTTTTTCCAAAAAGGTATTAGGATATAACTTCTGAAATTATTGATTATACAAACATATGTTTTTTTTTATTGATATATATTGCAATTTACAAAATCTTATTTAATTTTGATTGTTTTATTATAGGTTTTTGAGGTGGCTTCAAGTGATTTAATTAATATGGGCATAACAGTTGTTTCATACACATTAAAAGACATCAGGGATGAAGAGGTGAGTTATTAAAGTTATTAAATAATAAGAACTTAATGTATAGATAGTAAATTATATATTATGTGAAGAAAACTAGAGATTGTGCTTATCAAATAGTTATTAAACTCAATTACTAAGTATGCAATGTAGCAACGCATTAGTGTACAACTAATAGAGCGTAAGATGTGAATTTACCTACTAAGATTCATCTTAATTTCCCTGGTAAGAGAGTGAAAACAGTTTGAAAAACACTTTAATGTCTGCCACATATGAAAAAGCGGGAGAGAGACAAAATATATTTTCGTCATTCACAAGTAAAAGAGTGAGAAAATAAATGTTTGTCTGTTTTGTTTATTTTTCACACCTCATACTAAAAGAGTATGCATAGGCAGAGCGTGCGGAGCACAATATTGACTCTTGAGATGATGTTGACGATTAATTAATAGAATAAAGAACACGCTTCCGCCGCAGTAGTCACAAAATTTAGAGGCCGTGAGCGAAAATTAAACTCAATCACTATGAAATATTCTTGAATTTTAACTTACTTTTATCACCTTTAACTAGCGAATCGAAACTTTGTAAGGATATAATATGAAAAGATAGCAATACAATTATTTTTTAACATTAAGCTAAACAGATAACATAGCCAGGATACAGGTAGTAAAACTCATATTCAATACCTCGGTTCGGAAGAGTCTTAAACGTTACATTTGGTGATTAATTTAAGAAAATATTTTTTTTTATTAGTTGAAGACGTAAGCAGGAGGTACATAATGAAACTATTTAATCCTATTAATATTATAAACACAAAAGTTTACATGGATGTTTATAACTTAATCGCGCCCGAACGGCTGAACGGATTTGGATGGGAACAAAGATAGATTATAGTCTAGAATAACACATAGGTTATATATAGTTTTATCCCGTAAAAGGATGGTTCCCGTGGGGTAAATTTATTTTTGTTTTTAACTAGGAACGAACCCATAGCAAAACGAGGTTGAATCGCTAATGGCTCTATAATGTTTAATTTTATAGTCCTATTATTATAAGCGTGTTTTTTAATATTTTAAACTATAAGTTATAAATTATTAAGTTTCACTTATTTGTATTCAGGGATACCTTAAAGCTTTAGGTATGGCTCGTACAGCGGAGGTGAAGCGTGACGCGCGTATAGGCGAGGCGGAGGCTCATGCCGAAGCACGTATCAAAGAGGCCATGGCAGAGGAACAACGGATGGCTGCCCGTTTCTTGAACGATACTGAGATCGCTAAGGCCCAAAGGGACTTTGAGCTGAAGAAAGCTGCGTATGATGTGGAAGTTCAGACTAAGAAGGTATTGTGTAAATAATTACTTTAGTTACAGATATTTAATATGGTCTAATTTATAATCTATACTAATATTATAACGAGGAAAAAAATGGCTGTTAAGTTACTTTATAAGCTATTGTTATTCAGCGAGGAACGCCTCCAAGCATATATATTTTCGGCACACGCTAAGGGAACAGTCGGTTGTCCGTTATTGAGGTTCAAGGATAGCGTTAAACGCGATATGGCCTAGCTTCAACGGAGGAGTAGCTAACTGAGAGGAAGTTGCAGAGGACCGTGCCCATTGGAGGAAGTCATATGGCGTAAACCTTTACGATTTTACGACCGAATTTAGCTCAATGAGTTAGGCCGCAAACGCGCATGCAGACACCACCTCGAGACCAACCAGCTTTTTTATTGTTTACTCTGGGCAAATCTGGCAGACCCATCAAACCCATTATGGAGACCCTGCCGGCCGTCAACGGGCAGAGTACTGAGAGACTCCTACTCACTAAAACCCACAGTGGAATACGTCCGTCCTGCGGACGGCTCGTGCGATGCGGGCCAAACTCCTAAATCAGGATGCCCTCGATTCACAGAGCATCCCGAACGCTCTTATGACGTACAGCAATATCTCCTCTAGGATAGACCAACCGCTTCACCAATCCTTCGTCACAGCATAATTAATACAATTCTGCAACTGTCTGCAAAAATAGGTAATCTATTGTAAAAAGAAATAGAGCGCCAAAAAATTAAAATTTCGTATAAAAAAAATATCAAACCGATATGGACCGCCTTTTCGCTCGTTTGGCGTGACGTCAATACATAAAAATATACGTACATAGAAAAATAACGGCTTTAGTTTGTAGCTACAAAATTGCTAATCGCTTTGTTATGATAATAATATGTACTTTGACGTCCTATTCGGTCTGGCCAATGGTGTTCGTTTGAATTTTCTACGTATACTTGCACTTTTTAATATTTATTTTCTTAATCAAAAGGAATATAAATATATAATAAAAGAATATTGATAAAGGCTTCATTCAAAAGCCATAAAGATTATAAAAAAAAAACAAAATTTCACCTTTATTTAAATCACACGCATATTCCCTATTGTAATCGCAGCTGTAACTCTCGTATCGGTCTGTTCAGCCATGAGCGGAAATACAAACTATCGGACGCTACATTAAATCATATTTTGTAGATGGAAGGCCTACTACTATATTATAGTTTAACTTTTAGTGTTATATTGACGGACTCCGAGATTTATGGACTTGATAAATTTTTACAATTGTGGTATTATAAGAAATTTTTTACCTTCATATATCTCAGAAACATTAATATGGATATGGATATAGGTCTCTCCATATATACAACCGTAGGCGTGCCATAGCACGTCACGAAGCTCGATAGTCATAGTTTATTTGATTTAAAACTATCAACTGTTCTTTAGTGTAATCTAAAATGTTGTCTAGGAATATTATGTATAACTTGTATACTAATAAGAACACTAAATTATTATAAAAATAGTTATAAAAATAATACTTGTTAAATTATTAAAGGCCGAAGCTGAGATGGCATATGAATTGCAAGCGGCAAAAACCAAACAACGTATCAAAGAAGAGCAGATGCAGATAGCTGTAGTTGAGCGCACTCAAGAGATAAATGTGCAGAAATGGGAGGTACAGCGCAGGGAGAAGGAGTTAGAGGCTACAATCCGAAGGTATATTATCATTATATCACTAGACACTACATATTGTATGTGTGTGCTTGTCACGTCTTTACACTGAAATGGCTGGACGGAAAATAAGTCACTGTTAGGCACCCGGGGACTCGCACAATCGAAGCGAGTCTAAGTAGCTTGTTTTAATATCTATTCATGCATATATGGCAGATCATTTTCTTTTTAAGATAGGTACGAAAAGAAACGAAACTGTTACGAAGATTTTAAAGTCTTTAATAGTTGCTTCGACACAAGCGACGTATGTACGTCATCATTCTTAATTACCGTGTAGTTTAAGTGTGATCATCTTGTTACCTACATTATGTTTTTATACATATATTTCGCACGATTGTCTCATCTCTTATTAAAATGTAGGTTTTGTGAAAGAACAATGTGAAAATTTACCAAAAAAATATACTACAATGTATTTAGGTCAGATGACGTCATAAGGGCGCGTGGTCGAGCAACTAAAACGCCATCCATATCTTCGTTGTTTTTGATAAATCTTTAAAGAAATCTATCACTTTTTATGTTCAGGTTTAACAATAATTAGAAGTAATTGAGTTTACTACTTTTAGCTTAAGATGCTTCATGCTAATATCTTCTGAAGTCTATTCTCTCAAAAGGCCGGCTTAGACTAAGACACTACACTCAGTGTATATGTCGCAGGGTAATTGTAAAATCCGGTAAATTGTAATTTCACTTGTGAAATTAATCAATTTTTCAACTTCCATCTTTTATTGAATTTTTAGACAAAAAACCTTTTCTGTTTATGGTTTTGATATTATTATTTTTTATAACCTATATTTCTTAAATACCTATTATCGAAATAACATTTCCTTTTATGTTTTGATTACTAATATTTTTATAGATAAGATAATTTTTATTTAAACTTTCTGCTTTCTTTTAAAAAGATATATTGACGATAAAACTACACATGTTGATATCATGTTGATAACAATTTACAAATGACCAAACACTAATTATATTTTAGAATGCGATTACTATGTCATATACATGTTTCGACATTTTGGGGATTAGAATAATCAAAATGAATAAAATGAGCTTAAACTTCACTTACAGATGATTACAGATTCGATATAATAGTTGGAATTATATTAAAATCGAATTTCAAGATTTTACTACAAATAAAGTAAGTTAGACGTGACGGAACGTAGGGTTACAAACTGTAGTCGGTACTCGTAAATATTGAACTCGCAAAACGCTAAATAATATTCGCATGTATTCTGAAAGAATCGATAAAATGTTTGAAAAATTATTTAATTAAACTTTCTGGAGTCGACTTCCGACTTTTGGTACGTTTGGAAAAAAATATGAGAGTAAAATTTTTACGATGCGCGCACACATCGACAGCCAGAGAGCGACATGATGAAGTTAGCTGATAGCGACATAATGAAGTTAGCTGCATTCCTTTTTCAAACAGAGTTATGACATACGGGATGAAATGTTTAGCTGTTTTTGTCCTGTTACGTCAAAGAAGTATAACTTCTTACGTGCGTACATAAAACACATACACGTTTTTTTTCTGTATTGATATGTGTTTTGTTTTATAATTATATTTACGATCATAACAAGTATGCTATTTATGATGGTATCAATAAACCATTTAATAACACTGTCACGATAAAGTTCTTGAAAAATATTTAATAAACGATTTAAATTGAAACCGCAGCAGTCAAGAAGTATCATTAATAAATATCATTAAGATAATCTTTACTACACACGATTAATATGTTAAAAAAACTACATCTATCATCGTTAATTACTATTTAATCATATTAAAGCGTATCTTATTAGTTTTTAATGAAAGCGTATCTTATAATAGATGAAATAATAAGAGTACGTAAAAACGCGTTAATGTTAAAGATCTCGTATGTAGGACTAGGACATATCAGTTAAATTGCTTAATCCGATAACACATTGCGTCATATTTGTCCGTACACCTCCATACGATATCAAAAATTCTGGCAACTTTGGATAGATACTCTGTCTATCTTCATTTCCGCCTGTAAACATGTGTTTTTAACAAATCTGTTTTAATATTAATAAAGTTTATCGAATAATGGCTTTAAAAAAAAGCAAAAATAGCTGTTACTGACTACACAGACGATTAGTATAAATATAAAAGTTGACGAATCAAAATGCTTGTTGAGTCTATCAACATCAACACTGTACAACTTATTTCTGTATTATATTTGGCTGTATTTTCTTTTCGAACACATGATGTACTGAAACATATATTGAAGGATAATGTATTTTATCCCATTTTTAAGTCAACGTATGAAGTCGTAAAGAGATAACGTAATCTTAACAAAAAAATGAAATAATTCACATAGCTTCAGTACTTCAAATATTATGTTCTCTAAAACGGCATTGCGTGGGCAGCTTGATGACCAATCTCCTTCATACGAGTCACGTGTATTATCTAATAAGTACACCTTGTACCCCGTTTTGTTGTAAATGAATATTATTGTTAGTATTACAGTATACTAAGATTGACGACTGTATTCGCCCTACATTTATTTAGTTAATAATTAAATTACCCATCATAATTATTGGGCGACACAACACTTACACTGTACAGTAATTGCCATTTGACCTAATAAGTGTTCTATTAACGCGAGTGTGCATTAACTCAATTTACCTAATTGCTAATTGAGAACGTAAGCGTAACATGCAATATATATTGTTCCTCTTATATTTATTTTTTGAATATAAAACGAGCCTCGTCTATTTTGTTATAAATCGTGGTATTGGCCCTGCCAAGTCGAACAAATGGACATGTCGGGTACCCTCTTCTAATAGCAGCTTGGAAGCCTCTTAAGCTTTCCTCATTCTATCTTAGTTCTACAAGAAATTCTAAAATCATTATCTATTTATTTTATTGTAAGATTAATTTTTGTAATATACTTTCCATCACAACAAAATATTGCTTTTAAGCTTAAACTTTAAGTAAATTAATTTTGTGTACGTTTTTAGCGGATTATCCTCAAGATCTCTAAACTTTAGTCGGCGAAAGTAACACGAGACCGGCAAAATTTTTGAAGAACATTTTTTTCGTTACAAATCTTTATAATTATTGTACTAAATCATTATTAATCAAAAGTAAAAAGACAATGAATGATGTTAGAATATTTTTACAGACCAGCCGAAGCAGAGAAGTTCAGATTGGAGAAGATAGCCGAAGCGCACCGTTTGAAGACTGTACTGGAAGCCGAAGCAGAGGCAGAGGCGGTCAAAGTTCGTGGTGAAGTAAGTTGAACTTATTTTATTATCTACTAAGATAGTTTATTTTAAATTTTAAAAAATTTTACTATTCACATTCTGGCTCCAGTATCAACATATGACAGTTAAAAGTAGATTAAATTTGATCTTCAAGATTTGATAATTAAGAGAGTGAGCTAACAAAATATGTGTTGTCTAGGAAATCTATCAAGACGATATGACTCGATTATTTAAGTACTAGCGACTCACCCTCGCTTCGCTCGAGTTCGTCCCTAGCTTGCTTTCCAATACAAACTTTCATCCCCATTTTCACCCACTAAAGGGATGGTTTCCGGGATAAAAAGTATCCAATGTCCGTCCCAGGATCTCTAACTATCTTCTTACCAAATTTCGTCTTAATCAATTCAGTAGATCCAGAGATTACCCCCTACTACATTACAAAATCACAAACTTTATAATATTAGTAAAGATAAAAAATATACTCAAATATTTAATATAAACGACAGGTTTTTTTAAAAACAAAACAGATTATGCTGTACAAAATTGTTTTTGAAAGAAACAAGTGTTGTTACTTCTGTTGGCTAACTATACTTATTGTGTAGCATCCGATAGAAACGCACCGTTATGAACAATAACTCCTACGAAACTAGATATAGCACAAGAGCAATGTTGATTCGTAGCGTCGTGCTATTATTATATCCATCACCAAATAAGTTTAATTTATATTTCTAGGTCAGGTCAAAGTCAAACCTTATATTCGGTATTTACGGTTAGGCGCTAATGTGTACTTATTTCATTTATTTTCAAAATCATAAAAGGAGTTCGAAATGTAAAATTCTCTGAAATTTTAATAAACATGTTGTTTATTTTAATAAAGTAATTAAAATGAGATATTTTTCTATATTCACTAGGCTGAGGCGTACGCCATTAAAGCAAAAGCAGCCGCGGATGCAGAGCAAATGGCGAAAAAGGCGGAAGCTTGGAAGGAATATGGTTCCGCCGCTATGGTGGACATGATGCTCGAAACGCTGCCTAAGGTAAGAGCTCAAACTTTTAGTTGTCTTGTGGCGAAAATATTTCATACTTTAAATTTTAGGTTTAAGTATTTATTAACTTTAGATTTTCACGAATATTTATAATTTTAAATAAAACTATAGTTTCGGATTTTTTTCGGTATTGCTTTGATTTTTGGTTGTCGACGTTTCGAATAGATTTATAATTTTTATTCGTGATAATATCGAAGTAATATGTGCTCAACTGGTGCGCTTTGAAGCCATTAACAACAATTGAATTGAAAGTCTAATTAGAAACGAATTTTACGTCGTTCACATTTAACATATTCTCGCGTAAAATATTGACATTGAAAGTATCTTTTATCAATGTTGATATATTAAATGGAATAAATAAGCTTCTTATCTCATCAGACAACAGCAATGTCGTTATTTGAGATTACTGCATGTTTATTTTGTGTCAATAAAACGCTTGTGTGACAACGTAACACTACAGTCGTTATAATATTATTAACTGCCTCGCTGGTCTAGTGGCTAGTATGTACGGCTGCGGTTTTTCTATAAAGAAATTTTCACTAACAAGCCGGGCTATTCAGAAAATTGGTCTAGTACATGACACAATATTCACACGCAACCTTACTCTAATAATAATAGGTCCCGCACAAATCCAACGTTTCTTTTGATCAGATAAATTAAATGGACGATTGTTTTTACTGGAAGTGGCGTATCTACCTATTTCAAACTCTTTTGAGTACAGTTTTTTTATTTCTTAACTAGCGGAAAGTACAAACAGATCTATCCCACGGGAACCGTTCATTTTTTTGAGAAAAAAGGTAACCTGTTGTTTGACCGGTAATATACTACATTAGGTGCATAAGTTATTGTGTACTAAGCTGTATAAGTTACTATAGTTTTTTTAACTATCCCACGGGAACTCTTCAATTTTCCGGGATGAAAAGTATCTAAGATGTTGATTGGGGATATAAGGTACCACCATGCAAAATTTCATTTAAATCGGTCAAATAGTTTCGGAGATTAGCCCGTACAAACAGACAGTGAAACAAAAAAATTGAAAAAAAATATGGAATTGTTCTATTTTTCTTCTGACATTCCCCTGACTCGGTTTTTAGCATTTTTCTTCTATGTACAGACATTCGACCTCTATAGTTTTATCATATAATCAAATCAAATATCTATAATATTTGCATATTCATAGAATAATAAAATCATAATTGTGTTATTATATTATAAGTGTCAATGTGTGCAATAAAACTTTTGTATTGTCTGTTCCTGTATGTCATAACATACAGATAAATAAAATTGAAGTATCTGTTTTGTAATGTCAAAATAACAGCCTTTTACTAAATGTATTTGAAATTATTTATATACGGTGCTAATAAACAAAACGCAACTCTTAAAATTTTTGTCCATATGTTTGTTCCGGCTAATCTCTGAAACGGCTGGATTGATTTTAGACGGCACTTTCACTAGCAAATAGCTAATGTCATAAGGAGTAACTTAGGCTACTTTTATTTAAAAAAAAAGAAGATTTAGGGTTCCGCTCAAAAATACTAAAACGTACCTGAGAACGCGAGGTACATATTATATATTTAAGGCTATGTTTATAGTTTTATACATAGTACCAACCTAACACACGATCAAAGTCGATGATAAAAGTTAGAGTTATGTAAAGATATAATTAATACCATTAAAGCTATTCGTTACGCCAAATTTAATTGTTTCGAATGCACAAATATGTACTTTTTTAAATTGCAATTGAATTATAATTTATTTTATAACTAATAAAATTATTACCGTTTATAATGTGTGGTTCAAATTGATTCGTCTCATATGAATTGGTAAGGTTATACAAAGTGTAACAATTAAATTATACATTGCTTACGTGTTGATTTTAAATTAATAGCTAACTATTAACTCGCGACTTAACCTTGCTTTACTCGGGTCAAGTGCCTAAAAGTAGCCTATGTTTTACTCTAGGTCATATTCTACCTGTTTTTCTACTAAATTTACTCAAATCTGTCCAGCTGTTTTAGCTCAAAGAAATATACACAGAGTGACAGACACAACCTTTTCTTAATTGTTATAGTAATCCGTTTGACGAAATAGATTTAATAGTATACTTTTACTCTAATTTGATATAAATCTAATATTATTTTTATTATATTATTTTTTTTTCAATAACAAAAGAAAATAAATAGGTTAGCCATCTGTTGTGTGTAACTGTTGCATATTTTCCATTTTGTTGCACTAAACCTTATCGTGTGCCTTCACAGTATAACTCGAACACATTACAGTATACAAGGTCAACATTGTAGCTAAACGACAGGAATAGCCGAAACGTAAATAGCATTCAATGTTTTATGTGATTTTACGTCGATGTATTGTACTTAATTCTATTTTGCGTAACGAATACTTAATTTAATTTTTTTAATAATATTTAGATTTTTTTATGTAATCTTCTAATTATTCATTTAGCGTTATCGCTAAATTTGATGAATTATGCTTATGCATAGATGAGAAACATAAAAATACATTATATGATTCTATCCCACTTGATTGATATTAATTATTGAATATGATGAATCTTATTCTATGTAAATTAAAACTATAATTATAAATTATAATCATACATAAATTGCAATGAAATCCTAGTAGTTTTAATAAAACGTTTTATTTATCTCCTAAATTCGCTTTTTAACGGGCCTAACTTCGCATACATCCTAGCTAGACCAAAATGACATTCAAATCCGTCTAGCCATTATAGAGTGAGACGCTATCAGACAGGATAAAATTGTAAGAAATCGTGTGTTGGTGTATATGCATATAATTTAATCTTACTACTATCTTATTCTTCTTCTTCTGGCCTTTTCCCATCTTTATTTGGGGTCGGCTCTCCTAATCGTTTTTCTCCAAACATGTCTTTCCTGGGTCGTCCTTGGGTCAACATTGTTGTTTTCCATGTCTTTCCTAACTACAGACATCCACGTAAGTCGGGGTCTTCCGCGCTGTTTAGGTCCTGACTTGTGATCGAGCACTTTTCTGGTCATGTGATCTACCGGCCTTCTCATGACATGGCCGTACCATCGTAGTCTTGCTTCTGCTAACTTATCCTGTATCGGTCGAACCTTCAAAGTTTCTCTGATATAAAGGTTTGGCACTTTGTCCAAAAGAGTGACTCCGGCCGATCACCTGTGCATTCTCATTTCGGCGACGTGTAGTTTGTCGGCTTGTTGTTTCTTGAGCGGCCAGCATTCCGCTCCGTATGTCATTGCGGGTCTTATTGCGGTTTTGTATGCTTTGCCTTTGACGCGTATTGGCATTATTAGATCACAAAGCACTCCTGTTAGCTCTCTCCACTTAAGCGACCCAGCGTTTCTACGGTGCTCGACGTCTGCGTCGATACTGCCGTCATTTGCCAACACACTGCCTAGGTACTTAAAGCTCTCTACAGCTTTGAGCGCCGTATTCTGCAGATACATGATATGTTGGGTGTTGCTATCTGAAAATTTACAGTGCATGTACTCGGTCTTCTCTCTACTGATCTTTAGCCCGGCTCTTTCTAAGGTTGATCTCCATTTTTCCAGCGTCTTCTGGAAGGCTATTGGGTCTTTGTTAATGAGGACTACATCGTCCGCATAAAGTATACTCCATGGTATGGGTTGCTGTATCTCAGATGTAAGGTAGTCCATGACAAGATTAAACAATAGCGGGCTTAGAGCTGATCCCTGGTGGACTCCCACCTTCACACCGAATTCCTTGCTGATTCCTGCTGGACACCGTACCTTTGCCGTGACGCTGTCATACATGTCAGCCACCATTTGTACATAACATTCGGGTACCATCTTTGCTCGTAATGCCTGCCAAATCAGTGGTCTTGGGATGCAATTAAAAGCTTTTTCTAGATCTATAAAAACCATGTGGAGGTCTTTCTTATCGTCCGTGTGGGATTCCATTAGGATGCGGATAGTGTGGATTGCATCCGTAGTTGACTTTCCTGTGACGAACCCACACTGGTTTTCTGTGACGCTTGTTATCTGGCGTAGCCTCCGGTTCATCACTCGTTCCCATATTTTGAGGCTATGTGGTAGCAGTTTTATTTCTCGATAGTTCCCGCAGAGTCGAATATCGCCTTTATTTTTATAGTATGGAACCAGAAAGCTTTTTTTCTATGACTGAGGGATGCCATCAGATGGTTGTTTGTTGAACGGCGTGGTTAAAAAGTACACTCCATCGTCTCATTAATCTTACTACTATATAAATGCGAAATTTTGGATGGATGAATTTTTTAGGTTACTCAATCACGATTTGGATGAAATTTGGCACAGTGATATATTACAGTCTGGAATAGCACATAGACTTTTTATCCCGGAAAATGTACGGTTCTCGTGGGATAGTTTTAATTTATTTTTCACTAGGGATGAACCCGAGTGAGCGAGGGTGAGCCGCTAGTATAATATAATTGTTCCGCGCATAATTGTAAGTTATGCGCCGTTGCTTAGCAACTATTACAACTCCTTAGTCATGGTTTTGTGTTTCTAATTATATTGAGGCTTATGAGTTATCGCTCGTGAGCTACTTATTAAATTTATCCCTATACATACTAGCTGTTGACCGCGGCTGCGGTCTTAATTTAATTATGTTTATTTATTCTGCCCCCTAAGAGTCATAACGTGATATGTGCGACTTGATACAAAATCATCGATTCTTTGTAATATATAATATACGATTCATCATCATATTTTGGCAACCTTCTGGAAATTTTAATACTAATAGTAGCCTATATGTTAATTCTATGTACAGTCACATACACACTTTCCTATAATAATTACTAGTAGATCTGCAAACAGCGGACCTAGCGAAAACAAACTTCATTTTGAGAAGCTATTCTGCTCATCACGCCGAAAATCCTCATCAGATCTTCACCAAATTTTTATGAGACCAACTAAAATTACAACCTTTCAAATAAAAAAGGACCGTCGAAATCGGATTTCAGAAGGCGGAGATATTCAGTAGCCCCCTTTTTGCTCCTTCTCGGAAATTCTCCGCCAATCAAATACCCCCGACGACAAAAAAAAATATAAAGTCGTAATACCTGTATACCAAGTTTCGCCCAGATTCGGTTGTAAAATACGAACTGGAAAGAAATATCAACAAACTCACAGAGGAAAGCGAATTTTGCCAAACTTTAAGCAGGGATGCTTCACTCGCTCAGTCAATGTAATGATTAGTTCAAAAATGATTTTTTTACAAATCACTAGTACTTTCAGAAACTAGGGCTTTCAATATATAATAGTAAACAAATCTATCCCACGGGAACTGTACATTTTTCCGGGATAAAAAGTAGCCAATATGCTATTCCAGAGTATAATCTATCTCTGAAGCAAATTTCATCCAGATGCGTTCTGCCGTTCTGGCGTGATTGAGTAACAAACATCCAAATATCCATCTAAATTTTCACATATATAATATTAGTAAGATTGATTATAACAGTTTACCGAACGAGTTTTTATTGTTAATTTAATAAACTTGTTTGTTAGATAAACAATTTTCACTTTCCCTATTTTTGATAGAGAACATGTTTATTCAAGATGTTGTTTTTTTTTATTCTTATCCAACAATATTTGGGAGAATGTTTTTTGAATGTATTAGTATTATAATAGTATAGCAAATAAGATAATTTTGCAACGTGACTTATTTTTTACACATATTTTTGTGTCACATAAAAATGACAATTTACGTTGCAGATTTATTTCTTGTTTGCAGCAAAGGTTCTAGAGTTCGTCCATTGAACACGTATTTAAGTAAAATTTTCCATGAAAAATAAGAAATGTAGGAAACGTACAGTTTTCATCAATGAAATATAGGTATGTGTTATATAAATATCTATATGTCAAAAATATGGCCCATACCGTGATAATTTGTATGGTAATCTATGAAGTAAAGACTGCCCACGTCTGGTTATATAAAGCAAAGGGATACTCCCTTATATAATATTTTATATATAATATTTTTATATATAATTTATAGAGAAAACATTAATTATGATAAAAAAAATCTTAAATAATGCAAGGGTGTCCGGATGTCCTAACCATTGTCTTATAAGATTGTCGCAGAGAGAACGCAATAAAATAATAATGACGTGCAATTTTGGAAAAATGTGTGGGGTTTACACCTTGTCTCATTTCTCTTGTGTGTAAAACTTATACGAGTATTAGCAATTTGAATATGAAATATTAATATAATAATAAAATGTATAAGAATAAAAATGAAATGCTATTTGTTGAAATGAAAAGCGCATAACTTGACAACTACTAGAAGATTTGAAAATTCTTGAAAACTAAAAGTACTGATTTCTATAGGATTTTTGCATGAACTCCTTAGAGTCATCACTAATAAATTTACAGAAATTTGCACAAGACGACCTCGGTCATTAAGTAAGAAATATATACTGCATACATATTTTCTATGGAACCCAAATAACCACCAAGATAGGGCTTCTCAAATAACTCTTGCATTCAAATATTATCATTTGGGTACAGGTGGCCGCAGAAGTGGCGGCCCCGCTCTCTCAAGCGCGCAAGGTGACCATGGTGTCCTGCGGCGGAGGTGAAGTGGGCGCGGCCAAGCTCACGGGTGAAGTTCTCAGCATCGTGCAATGTATCCCTGACCTCGTCAAGGGCGTCACAGGCGTCGACATCTCCAAGGTAAAGGTAAATGTCCATGTCCCCGTTATGTTTAACCACTTTTTAACATGATTATCATTTGTTAAGACTGAAGAAAAGCATTGGAAGGAAATGCATGTTCGCAGTGAAGCCCTCTAACCCGAATTTGGCCAGAGTTGGCTAATTACAACACTTAAGTTATCATTGCTTGGATCTTCCTGACAGGATCACTAATACTTTGCGATGTAAGGACTTGAATGTAACGGATAGGTATAGTTTTAGTACAGTATAAACACATTATTTTGTTCATTTCGATAAGTGGGTCAGAAAACAGCGTTTGACTTTATCTAAAGCGCGTTATATCTCTGTGTTTAGTTTCACTTAAATATTATCAACACGAATGCTTATATATATTTGTATGTACTGTTACATTATCATTTATGTTCTCTCATCACCTCTTCGCATAGGTTGTGGTTTAGTAACATCATTTGAATTTAATTTTACACAAATTCGTCCACTAACAGTTCTGGTGTCTTGCATGGTTCACCTTTCATATCAAATGACTAATCAATGATCATCTTTAGCACCCAAGTATTTTCTCCAATTTACAAAAAAAAACAACTTGTTATTTAATATTTACAAAGTGTAATAAGTTGACATATCTCGAGTGCAAAGGTTGCGTTATCGCTAGCCTTTTGACTTATCAATATCACGATTCATGTTGAGGAATGTGCTAAAATCGTTATTTACTTTGAGTTTTATCGGTACCATTAATCTTGGCGTATTATTATAATATAGGTTTCTTCTGTTGTTTTTTTTAGTACGCCACATCTTTTTCATACTTACAATTAATGATAATAATTAATGATTGAGACGTTACTTTAATCCCTCCACGACCCTCGGACAATGCATAGATTTCTTAGAATTTTAATTAATTTCTTAGAAATTTACCTAGAGGTGTTAAAAATCTGTTCCCTTCAAGTAGCGAACGTTTGAAATTCTTATTTTTGTTGTTGTGTTGACATTCAGTTACAGGTTTATAGATACTTTGTTATTGGAGAAAATCGCTTCACTCTTCACGCTTCTAAGCTGTATAGTGAAATTATAACTTGGCAAAATCTCAATGTGCTAACATTATCGTAAACCTCGCTTTGTACATTAGTACATTTGCGAAACTTTTATAAAGTAACAATTTGTTTTTGAAAAAATAATACAAGATAACAAATCTACTTTCCTATTTTACAAATATCGTGCATTTTTATTTTTCAATAAAATAATATAATTTCTAAGAAAGTAATAATTCAAAGGGAGGTTTAAGTACCATAAATGTAAATACATGTTATTCTAACGGGTATGGTGTATGTATAGAATATGGAAACCACCGCAGTCCCCACACCGACTGCCCGTGGGGACTCGGCGAGGAAGTTACGATAACTATGCGGGATCAACTAAACATCATTCATTATCGAGGCGAGTATAATAGGTAGATAGATCTATTCGGTGCATGTTATGGTATTTTCTCAATAATCTTTCAGATTAATACGAATTATAAGTAAGGTCGGATCCGGACATGTATACACATACTTAGGCTGGGTTCACACGGCATTGTCCTGCACTTTTTTTTAGTGTTCGATTTTAAACGTACCAGCAGCCGGGTGTTCACACGGTAGATTTTCATTCGTGTAAAAACGAATATCCGCAGTTTAACACGTTGTCATAGTGAGTAAACGTCAGTGATAGATCTACGCTTGGTTGTACTTTCATATTGTTATCGAAGGCGCCAACGGTTGCTATTCGATAAAAAACGTATGACATCGTGCCGTGTGAATAAGATAGAGCTAACCTATGCGCCACTGCAAACTGAATACGTTAAAGTTCATTCGATTTCCTTGAGAAGTCCGGTGAGTATTCAGTTAAACGTATAAACCATGTACGATTTTTTGCAGTACAAAAGTCCTGTGAACGGTTCTATATATATTGTATGTACCACTAAGTATTCGTTAAGACGTATACTGCAAAAAATGTGCAGGACAATGCCGTGTGAACCCAGTCTGATGTTAATATCATGATATGCCCCCAACCGTGCAAAAATGCGATTGCTCTACGTAAACCCTGTCCAAAACAAGAATTTCTACTAGCTTTTTTGCAAACAAAGTTTAGTGCCTACTTGAAATACACAAAAATCTCATATTTTCCATCTTCTATGGTACTTCCATTATATTAATGTAATAAGTCTGAATACATGTATTTTAATAACACCTATTGAAAAAAAACCGTAGTGCGCGAAACATAAATATTGTCGTCGATATTTTAAAACTACATATAGAATGTACACACATACGAGTACATGCATTTAGGTACTTCATATTTAACAATACGAAACGTAACGAAAATTATGCATATCGGGAATCGACTTTAAAATAATCATGGCTTTAAAATTGACACACGTAGTTTAATTTTATATTCTTTGTTTCTACTTTCCAGTAAAATGTTTAAGGAAATTGTGAGAAGATATCATAATCGCTTGTGTAACATGCCTTCTGTGTTATTTAGTTTATGTTGTAGGTATTATTCTTGTTATCTTACTGTGTTGCAGAATCATGATCACATAAAAGTGTGCCACTTTGACATAGAATAGCTTTACTAACCAAAGCATGTGTTATCATCCAATATAAATATAATGTAAATGCATGATTTTACACGTCCCACCTTGCTCAGTATATATAATTGGTTTCGTTATTGTACAGCGCAGCGGTGACATTGATTTGAATTATTGAATATTACAATTTTAATTTTTTTGCAGGATCTTCGCGCCGTTTAAAAACCACTCATCATATACCAATCTCCATAGAAAACGTATGTTTTAGCCTGAAGTATAATCATTAAATATCCAAAACCTCTGCCAAATATACCTATACAAGACGTGTTTTCCACTTATACCTAGTATTTACAAAACTGTGCACACACCTTGGAGTCAAGGCAGTGTTACAGCCGTAGTCAATCGTGTAGGGTAGTTCCGCTTCATTTTCGAACATTACGATACGATAATCGACGGTGATGTTTAGTTGTGCGACAATCGGAGCGACGAGCGGATAGACGTATAGAGACCAATCGCCTAATACTCTCGGGTAAACTATGAATGACTGTTATACTAAAAATGACCTATATTTTTTTATTTAGCTAATCAGACATTAGGTTATATGGAAATATTTGGTGTTCAAAAAGTGCAGTTTAGAAATTCTAATAATAATAATTATAATGTAATTTAGCACGTTCTAAGAAGTTATTGATGGTATTTCTAAAGAATAATAAACCGTTAGTTTTTCACAGCTCCGGCCGTCCCAACGTACACTATCGAATGTAAAAACGTTTCGACATTTATCTTTGACATCAGACAAATACTCGGCTTCCCAAAATTATTTAATCCTAGATATAATTGATGAGCTTATTGAGAAACATACAAAATCACGTTCAGCGACCGCGATACAATCGATATTCTACGTCAGGGACACGAGCCGTCCCAAGTGTGCTAATATTTACTTTCTTATACGTATTACAACTAGTCAATTGTATCGTTTGTGAATTTTTGTATGTAAATAACATTCAAATGTACACATTCATAAGCGTAGTTAGACTTAAGATGGAAATATCATTTCTCATTTATTGAACCCCTCGTAGGCCCAAGTTTCATACAAAATAATAAAAGATGGAGCCTCATTTGTCTAATGAGGTTATTATATTTAATATTTTATAATCAAAGACGTACTTAACAGAACATATTGAAAGTTATTTTCGCAAGACTGTCATTGTCATAGTGTGCCTTCGATTTCTTCTTTACTGGAACCCACCTGATTACGCCTTGTGTAATTGTAGTAGGTACATATTCACATTATAGTAAGATTAAATTCATCAACAAGTGCACTATAAAACACTTATTTAACATTTACAAACGGTTGTGCTTCATTTTGAAATTACATTCTAACATCTATCATTTTATTACATTTAACCTATTATATGAAATAGAATGAATTTCCATCTTTAGAAGTCCATACCGTGAAGTCTAAACTCGACACGTTTATATAAACAGTGTGTTATACCTACAAATAACCATACCTTATTTTGAGAACCAAGAACCTCCCATTTACATTCCATGCAGTTACAATCTAACGTAATTAAAATGTTCTAGTTTAACATATTTATTAATATCGACGGTAATACATTTTTAATAATAGTAGTATTAATGCAATTCTCATCCGCACTTGCGGTTAAAGTCTTATGAAAACCATAAGTCAATGTCTATTTTTATACCAAGTAAGGATATAATTCGCTCATAAAATATATTATTCGTCAGCTCCTAGCGAATGTACGACATCTGTTTATTATTTAGATATTTATTTTACAATTCATTGATTCAAATAGAATTATAGATAATGTGTTCGTTAGCAGTAGAGCAAAATCAATATACATACTAACTCTGAGACTATTTTCTCTAAAAGTTTGAGCGTCGAATTCAACATTCGTTACTAGCTTATTTGTAAGTATTACAGACGGTTTATTAGTGTATATTAATAGAGTACAATGATCTGAATTACAGGATTTACCTCGAAAAATATATTACATAGAATAGGGATGTCTAACAAAATATAATGTTAATTATAATGTCTTTTGTCTCCATTTGATTGAAATAGTCATAACTGTGTATTATGATTAAACAAATCGTGCGCAATACATTACGTAGGTATAGATAGAGCAGGATAAGTCGAGAGCGTTTAAGGTCCAGTCATTCTAACAACTCAAATAGTCTTTCCATTTACAAAAGTCAACAATTTTTTTTTATTCAATACGCAATTTACTGTACATGTTAGATGTTAGAGATAGGAATATAATATAATCTTTTACACTTGCAATTTTTATAGACGTACAAACGCAAAACTTTTTTATATATTTGCATTTTTCAAAGTGCCGATAGATGTATACAAAGCATTATATAAGAGTAGCTCTTAGCTCTTAACGTGGTATTGTTCTCGTCGTCTATTTATGAAGTTAATATTCAGATTAATTTTGTGGGCTGATTTGATTTCTTTATGGATGGTATTTATTTTATATAAAAGACACTGGGAACAAAATCGCGTCACAAGTTGTACCTACATATAGTTTGCCGAATAGTTTATACCTAAAGGCGAGAAGGGAACACGAAATGATCGCGACGCGATTATTGCGTATGGATATCTCATTTTGACGCAGGAGCTCACCCGAATCGATAATTTGCACAATCACGTATCTACTGGAGTCTGTCTAAAGTTACCTCAAACAAATGTCGGCTTGTGCCATATTATTATGTACGCTAAGCAATTGTATTTTAATTTTAAACACCTATTTACGTTGTTTTTATATTATTTTTTAACATATATTTATTTTGTTGTAATCTATATCTACCAATAAATTTATTGTTTAAGCAGATTGCATTTTTGGGTGCTTCGTATTCAAATAGTTATAATATAATTTTAGCACAAATGTATTTCTCGTAGTACAACTATTGCAGAATAATTTTCTTTATATGTAGAATTAGTTGTAAGTTATTTTTCACTGCCGTACTAAACATCTATGTTAAGATGTTGCCGGCTCTTTTCAACAGAACTGCTTTCCGAGCCGGCGGTAGCTTCCTCACGGACTGACTACATTGACGCTTACATTAAATTGACGATTCATAAGCACTTTTAATAAGTCTAATTGAATAAAGTTTATTTCATTCATTCATCTAAGAGTAATATGGTAGCTCTTCCCTCACCAAAACAAAACCATACAAAAAGGCCATAATTCACAATATGGATAATTAATGAAAATATACCTATGTATACAGTTACGATGTCGCCATTCAGTTTGAACTAAAATTATATGCCTTCCGCTCTTCTAAAATTAATTTAAATCTTACTGATCGAATCATCGCGAACAGCACCTTATGTGTATGCTATCATTTGGACGGCCATGTCAGCCATCTCCTAGAAGCATTTCAAAACACTTAAGTGTAGATCCCAAAAACCTGTTAACTTTAATATTTCTGAAATTATTTGTACGGAGCTAATGTCAGATTTCTATTTCTAGTAAGGAAAATCACACATATACAGATTACTAGGTTGAATAGAATGGTGTATGGTCTAATTATACCTATCGCTTGGTAGGTACACCGTATACGTCAATGCAGATTAATTAATTAATTGCTCTCTTTCGCCAATCGATATTTTATGGGCATGGGCAGTGGAATTTTTTCAGAAACAAATTCAAAAACAATGAACATTTAAGGACTTAGGCGAGTATATCGTAACTTTAAAAATTACTTGTTATCATACTATGACTTTATTCTAAATCTATGGCTAGAAATTTTGTCATTATTTATTGATACGACAAAAATGATATTCTTCCTTATATTTTCCTATTAATGAATTTCTGATGGTATAAAATATTAATTATTATTTGACTTTAATTTATTCAATAATTCGATCTCTATCATTAAAAAACGTGGAACTTGTACCAACGTGAGCATTCGGAATTTCAACAATTACCTACCTAATTGTTAATAAAAATATTTGATTATTTTAAAGAGAGGACTATATCTTATTAATATTGGAAACCTTTAAAAAAATTAGCGACTGATAAAAATTCAAAGTTAGCAATGACACTATCCAGGGGCGGATGTAAAGCTTAAGAGGGAATTGGACAGAAAGCTCTATCTTTGGGGTTTCTACTATACTTATGTACGATCTGCATATTTGCAAACTAAAAAAAGAAAACGAAGGATTGAAATAATTAAATAGAATAGCAAAGGAAAGATGTTAAATTAACTCTTGTTATTAACTTATTTTGAAGTTTTGTCATGAATCATGATCCCGCTCTGTCCAATTCGCGTCTTACAACTTCTATTAACATTTTTTAATATTGTATAAAAAGAGATGAATTTCCAACTTACCTTAGTTAATGGTTCAGGTACGATAGTACAAACATGATAGCAATAATTGACATTGAAGAATACTTCAATGATTCATTAAGTTGCATTCTGCAAATTATTCGATTATGATTTTATTTTCTTTTATTGGTATTATATTAAAGCGCTGAGCGAATATAACTCTGCTATCTAATGTAAGAGATTCAGCTGTAACTTTTACAGTATTTAAACCAACATGTATTGTGAATGTGAGTCAGTTTGGTCCATGAATATAACAATTATTAATAAGTTGATTATAGCTGCACTTATCGCTTATTCTTATTAAATCAATTATATATATATATATATATATATATATATATATATATATATATATATATATATATATATATATATATACTGTACCGTATTATTTATTGTACAGAACCAATAAACAATAATAAATATTGAATTGATAACTGGGAGTTATACCGGTAAAATTAAATAGCCGCGATAAGCACTATACGCAATAGACGCTTAAAATCTTGCAGTGAAAATTAAATCTTAATGATACTATTTTATTAGGTGTGAAAAGCTAAATGTTTTAGTTTTGATAAAATAAATTAAATAAATGATGTAACCTACGTAAAACGTGCACTAAGAGTGGCACAATTACATTTACTTTGTGTGTGATCACATTTTTATTAATGTATGTGTATTGACGTGTTTTTATTCATATTTATTCAATAAAATTTTAAATTGAAACGTTGTTTTATTTCGACATAACAATCCTTTAATGGCTAATTCTTAATTTGGAGTAGCTTAATTTGTGAACGCATAACAAAGGTTTTTCAAAGATCTTAGTTTGTATTAAAATGCGAACAGTTAAATACACAAGTTTATTTAATATTTTTACAAATAAATAATAATTATATATTAAGTGAAAATAATTAATATCAATGGTTTACACAATACATCAATTGTTTACTGTAAAAACCTTACAGTTACTGTTTACAATTTCAAGTGTTCCTTCGTAGATACATTCAAACATACTCGTTTCGTGCGGCTAAAAATTCATTGATTTCATTTATATTGTATCAAACCTACCTACATACTTGACTACCATTTTGCAGAACAAATAAATTGGTACTTATTTAAAAGGTAACTTTAACTTAATATAACACCAGGTGTTTATGAGCTGCAATCTAGTTCTAAGGAAAAATAAGATGTATTCACGGTAAACCCTTGATATACAATTCACATCATTTTCTAATATATTTCGTCCCATATTTACTATATTTATATTAGAGAGATTCTGCTACATGTGGCTAAATATATTTCTAAGGATTTCTGTAACTCTTCAAATTAACAGGCCTTAAGACGATATTCTTGTTCTGCGTTTGCATAAAAATATTAATACATGTACCTGAAAATCAAGAAAACTCAGATTAGATTTTTCTAAAATCTTACCGGTTACTAATATGGACCAATCATAATAATATTTTGTAAAAGAAAATATAGATGCTTTACATATAAAACTTCATAAAGTTAATATTTTTTGAAGTTTGTATCGGCATGGTTCCAAATACCTGTCGAGTTTTCATAAGTTTGTATGTTCGAAAACTCAATTTAATTAAAATAATATAAAAAAATGTAATATAAAGAAAGATAAAATATAAAGCTACGAAAAATGAAATTATGTAACTAATAAAATAACATTCATGATTAAGTGCAAAAATAAAAAATAATTAAAAGCAAAATAAATAAAAATCAATAAAACTTGAATGTATAATAATGATGTAGAAAAAGCAGATACAATAAGCGCGCAAGATATATGGAGTATAGAAGCGTGTATAAAAATTGAATATAACTTGCAATTATTTTCGAAAAAGCTTTATTAATGTCAGCTTTACACGACGTTTAATATGCACTGTAAATTTTTTATTCCATTGCCCGCCACCGTACACAGCTTAAAAGACATTTTAACTGACCTTAGTCTAACTGAAATAGATGAATGCCTGCCCAGAGATGGTGAATCAAACTGCTTGTGTAAAAGATAAAAAAGAAATTTATTAGTTAAATTGATCTTAAGACCTATAAAAATACTAACAAATTGTTTCTTAAAATATGCATTTACGTAATCCTACTATGCTTATGGTAACAAAGTTAACGCAGATAACCTATATTATATCAGTCGCCCCATTTGAAATATTTGGAAGATTAATAAGTACTAAGAAAACAGCCAATGTTCGAACGATCTATAACTTTTTACGATATGTACCGTATATTTTAACTGGCTAAATCTATTTAATAAAGACATCTCAAAAATAAATTTGACCTATCAAAAAGTGTGACTTAAGTATATATTTTTTTATATTAGTATTCATAGTGATACAGAATCCTATGTATTAGATACAATACATAACACTTTTAGCACATAATAAGTATTCAACATTGGAAGGAAGTAAAAAGATTTATAAAGGCAACTTCTAAAACATAAACATAAACCGTTTCATTATTATATTCTACATTTCTTTCAATTGCATTTATGATAATGGGCAAAGGACCAGCTACAGAATAATAATAAACTTTTCGCTTTTCTTACACCTACATATGGCTTATGCCACTCTTCAATTCCATCTCAAAATCTAATTAAAAAGTGATACCTAATAAATAATTATTACAATTACCATTTTGAATTAGACTTGATGTAATGTTTTAAGTAATAAGCAATTTTGAAAGTAATATTTAAAATTATTACACTTTGATTAAATTTAATTATTAGTAAAAATAAAATGAAATATATACATGTAATAAAATTGTTACTGAGTCGTATCTGTAGGGGAAAGGGGGGTACACTGGATCACTTTTTTTCATATGTAGTTTACCTATATAAATAAACTATAAATTACCAATATTTATATCTAGAGCAATGAGGCGTTAAGTTGGCTAAAGAAATCTAGTTCAACTTAAGCAATAATATTAATAGTTTTCTGAAAGGAAAGGTTTTTTAAAAAGTGGGAAATTATTCTTTGTACCCCATATATGGAGTACATTGGACCTCCGCATGGGGTACAGTGGATCTTATTGGGGCACAGTGAATCAACATATGAAATCATAATACATTTTACTGTTGGGTTACAGCGAATCAATCAATATTGTAAAAAAATTCGTTTAATCGATTTCAAATCACAACGATTTTAAAGATGTTTCACTTCAATAACTAAAATAATTGTATTAGTCAATATTATATTAATATCCTATTTGTTGACCTGGACAACCAGCTATCACCATACCAAATTTCATCAAAATCCCTCCAGTGGTTTTTCTGTGATGCGGTAACAGACAGACAGATAGACAAACAGACAGACAAAAATTTCCAAAAAATATTTAATGTACAGATTCGGCTTAGTTACAATTTTATTATATGTATAGATTAAGCCAGCCAGAGAATGAGATAGAATACATTACACAGGAAGTGAAAAATAATACTGAATATATAAAGCAAATTATAAAATAATTTCTGAACTTCGTAAAAATATTATTAAAAAAATCACTTCTACCGTGTGTGAATTGCACACACAAACTATTTTTTCTTCTTAAAAGTTTATTAACTGTATCAGACCATAATTGGAGCATGTTACGTACTAAAGCAGTTCTTGACGTAGTCTTAAAACAATAGTCGTCAATTTATTTGACTTCGGACATCTGTAGCAAATATTATTCAGTAATTACGTATCTATATATACATTATATATATTTTCGTGTGATTTCTAAATTCTAAGTTACTTATTCAGTATTCGTTGTCATCGATTACCAAAAAATATGATATTTATATTATTTTTATGAACGAAAAAAATCTTAGAACTATATACCTAATAGAGCTACATCATTCACGTTAATTACACACAAATAAAATTAATCAAGAGCGAAATGAAATTATTTTGCTTGCCAATCTTAATGATGTTTAAGGAAGAAATGTTATATGTTTTTGATTCAATATGAGGGACATAAAAACACTAATCATTATAATTAATCGTTAATCAATCACAATTAGACATTCTAAATTACTTATAAATATTATACTACAATCGCGTTATTATATTTTTCTCTCGCATTGTCATAATACAGTATCCTAAATCCTAATCGTAATAAATGTAACTTTTATCTGAACTATTTTCAACTTTGTATCTCAACTAAGTATTGTATAAAAGTTAAACATTACTTTAATTGGCTTAGCTCTTGTATAGCCCAGTGTCGTGTCCTCTAGACTGTATCTCAAATTATATAGAGTGATCTTTTTATAAGGATTTATTACTTAAATTATAAGCTTTTTATAAAAAATTATATAGTGCACTAATAGTATGCCATTACGAGAATTGTAGAGCGGGCAACTATATAAATGCATTGGAATCAATAAAGTAAACCATAAGTTATAGTTATGTGTGAGAATTATTACTATCAGTGGATTAATAGTAAAGTATTATACAGATAAGAAAAGCCTGTAGTTGAAAATTACTCATATAAAATCAAGAATTTCTAAAAGTTAATATTATTTACTAATGTTTATATACTATGTATTTCTCATTTTAAACAAGTTTCTTTAAAACCTTGTCTACACATCCTGTCACTTTAGAAAGTTTTTCTATAAATTAATAATCAATTATTGTACCTAGTATTAAATTAACATTTTCTAACGGATTTTTTTAAGTAATGGTGAATTTTCAGTTCATTTACTATACAAACAACTATATGAACATATAGAAAATAATAATAGGGTCCTCCAAATAATATTGATGATGTTATTATTAATGTGTCATAATACTGATTAGAAATGTTATGTTTTTGAAAAGTTGTTGATAATAATTATGCAGTAGTTTCATAATGAGAAAGAAATAAATTTCATAATTTAATATTAATTGCAATATGGAATAACCCACTATTGATTGAAGATTATACTTTACCCCATACTTGTTTGTATCTGCGTTTTCTAAGCATATGTCTAGAAATAAAATACTTTATGACAAGAATAAGCATAATGAAAGAAAATATGTACAGGAAGCTTAGCATTCCAATGTCCAGACTGGAAAAAGGACTTGTTGAAGCTGCAGATCTTGCTATTCTTGTACTTTGAATGTTATTTGCACTATACACTTTCTGTAGATATTCATACACTGCAGGCAAATTCCAAGCTCCTCTAGAAAGTCTACATTCTGGACATTTTGTGGTGCTAGGAAATTGTATTTTTGGATGTTCAGGATCTTCAGTCACATCCCCAGCTAATCTTAGATTTACTTCATTATGAGAAATCCACAGCCAAAGTACAGCTTTATCATTCTCTTTTACATCAAAGATTCGGTTTCTTGTTGCCATAGCCTGAAAATGCTCTGAGCACTCAGTACAGCCAAAGAAATGTTTGACATAACCATGCATAGCTTTTAATACTCTGGGGCCTTCATTGCCTGTTTTTTGTGCAGCATTTACTGTCAGTGTATGGAATAAAGTCCATAAACCACATGTATAGCCACGGAACATAGGCTGGCTTCCCTTACACTTTATATAATCAAGGTCATATGAGAAAACTGGTGCATGAGTTGTTTCAAGTCTTTTTACTAAATTATATACTTCACTTCCAGTCCATTGGCTTTTTGTGCTAAGTTGTTGATGTAAATTGACAATATATTCTCTAACATTTCCTCTGAATGGAAAGTTTACAATTATAACATCAAGATAGTCTAGAAGAGCTTGAAGAATTTCATTACTTAATGTTTTATGCCTTGTTATTTCAGTATGCAAACTTGTTTTTAAAGTTTTTTCTAAGTCACTGTAATAAACAATATCTGAATCTAAGCCTGCTTTCTCAGCATAAAAAGAATGTGTACTCTCATCATGTTTTATATTACGCATAGGGAAAATATAATTCTTAGATTTTAAAAATGTGTTGATTTCCAAAAGTAAGTTCTGCTTAAATGGAATATTAGGAGTTAATAATGTTGTCTCTAAAGATGGTCCTACTGCAACTAAACCAGGAAATTTTTTAACACCAGTAATTTCAGCTAGTTCACTGTTTTCATAAATTCTCTTTAATTTGATATGCTCATAATCATTTATATCAAGTGCTAGTTCAGAGCCTACAGTAGAGTTTTCATTTTCAAATACCAGAAAAGTATAAATAATATCATTAGATAATGGACTCAAGGCTGAATTAAGTTTTGCATAAGCTCCAATACTGAGTGAGGGAGCAAATGACAAATGACCCATTGATTGTTCTTTTTGCATTTTAATAATTAGCTGAGATTTTAATTTTTCAGCATTATCAGTTGACTGAAATTTGTCACCAACATTAGCATTCCCTTTTATGTAGCTTTCATGCAAGTATCGTAAAGATGGATATGCCATAACTTCAAACTGTCGGCATATTTCGTTATTTTCCTCAACAGAACAATCCAGAACTGCTAGTTTTATAATTGGATTCCATGGCTCTAATTCTTTTGCCAAGCTTTTAAATTTCGGTGCAAATGCTCTGCAGTGGCCGCAATAGCTGTTATAAAATTGTATTAAAAATGCATTTTTTTGCCCATAAATTTTTTTATCGAAATTTTTATTTGTTAAAATAATAACTTTGTCCGATTTGCTGTAAAGCCCTTGACTGTCAATATCATCACTTTCAGGTACAACTGACGCACTTATTAAATTGTCCGAAAAACAAATACTTAACACGAGTAAAATCCAGCAGTTCATTTTTCTTTATAAATTATAACTACATAGGAACACCGAAATATTTAACAAGTGAAAGTAGGATATCTGAGAAGAATTCGAATAACTTTGCAACAAAACTTCCAACTAACCAAGTAATAAATTGATTTCACTTTACATAATCATGCGATTTAAATACGTCATTAATTCTAGTTTCAATTTCCGATAACAAGACGATCCAGTCACATTGTCAGTACTCATACCGTTTAGACTTTAGAGGTAGGTAGTTTTTGTAAATAAAATTTTTGACAATAGTCATTATGATTGACAATTGACATATAATGATATAAATAAGCACGCTAAGTGTAATGTGCACAGGTTATGTAAAGACGGTTGGACAAATTACAGACGATATTCCTTACATACAGCACAGATAAACTACAACATTTTTATATTACAAGTCTACGCCAAAAAATAAGTATAGAATAAGTAAGGGTGCCTTTTCCTTTTGAAGCTATATTAGATTAAGTAAATAGATACTCACTAGTCAGTAAATATTGAGGTCGTGGGTTTGACTCCCAAGTTCTTCCAAGTACAATTCTGTTTTACTCACAAAAAAATCTCAGTGACCAGAAATTAGTGGTGCTACAACCTTTTCTCAGAATCTTTATAATGCCGTTGATCCTGACTCTTGCACCTTATCTCTTACCGGTCCTGTCGAATTGTCATTCTACCGGACCTTTTGATTGAAAGGAGTGCAGTGTGCACTTTATGTACGCACATTCGGCACTATAATGAGGTACCCTACCCCAGCCTGCAAATTTATGATATTTGCAATGAAAAAAATACTAATCGATAGATTTTTAATAGCTCAATTCAACTACGTAGCCCTTCCAAATTGCTCACCATTAATTATAAAATTAAAAATCAATAAAGTCCTTGAAAAAAAATTCATTTATCCGTATATTCAAATTTCTATATCTTTTGATATATACAATATTTTAAATTGCTCAAAGTTCTAAAATACTGCTCAAGTTGCATTTGTAATTGCTCAAGTAGAGTTCTCACCAGCTCCACTTTCCTTAATTATTAAATAAATATAAATAGTTTGAATAAATTTAACGTATAGATAGGTGAGTGCTGCGCATGCGCGCAGTTTATATTCATGCAGTTTGTTTCTTTGAAATAAAAATGTCATTAAACTATATGTATATTTAAAAATAAAAAAAGTTCCGTCTTGTATTGATGTTAATAACATTTTACTAATGATCCCTGTCATGGCTATTACCTTAATAGAATAAGCATTTGAACATAAGATTTTGTCTTAATTTATCTGTTGGTATTCATTTTCATTTATTGGTAGATTCCAGATCTGTTCTTTATGTTATAATATCTGACGTGGAATCACGTAATGTGAACAATTCATAAATTCAATAAATTTAAAGAAATCCACCGAGAAACAGAATTAAGACGTTGAATTGGAACGATTGTCCAAGCCCGCCGAGGCCGACCGACAATGCGCGGTGCGCATGCGCACGCTCACTTAACCTACGTTACATTTATTACAACTATACTTTTAATTATTTAATAATCAGCGAAAGTGGAGCTGGTAAAAACTCTACTTGAGCAATTACAAATGCAACTTGAGCAGTGTTTTAGAACTTTGAGCAATTTGAAATATTGTATACATCAAAAGATATAGGAGTTTGAATATACAGATAAATTAAATTTTTTTCAAAGACTTTATTGATTTTTAATTAAATAATTAAAGGTGAGCAATTTGAAAGGGCTACGTAGTTAAATTGAGCTATTGAAAATCTATCGATTAGTATTTTTTTCATTGCAAATATCATAAATTTGCAGGCTGGGGTAGGGTAGGTACTATAATGTCGCAATACGCCTGAGTATTAACATGTATAATCTAGGTTAGCCAATTTACAAAAAATATAATTTTCATGTCTTCGAGTATACCCAATTCAAATAAATGTTATTTAAATTGTAATTGTATCCATAGATATCATAATATGCATTTTTATTAAAGAAGTATAACTTCTTACGTGCGTACATATTATGTGTACTTAAAGTACACACACACGTTTGTTTTTATTTTAATAGATATACTACAATTATTGCAAAGTGAACTTAAATGAAAATTAATGTTAATCAATGTTTAAAAAATATTCATAACATAATTGGCATGTAATGAAACTAAAGGATGCATAAATGATTAAAGAAAAGAGTCAAAATTCAGCTTGAAGAACACATTTTTTTTATTTGGGAAATACTACATGTATTTCCCAAAATTAAACTACCGAGTGGATTGGCAGCCCTACTCGCTAAAACCCAAGAAAACCTTCTTCGTCTAAATAAGACATCACGGGATCACTTACACACTCCCTTACTTTACAAGAACCGTTGCTTTTACAATCCACTTTGCTATCAGAAAAAATTCTGGGAACAACAAATATTCTCATTGCGTTTATTAGTTTTATCCCCGTCTTGGATTGCCTGATATTAATGGGAAAGGTATGGTTCTGAGGAAGGACTACAAAGTTTCCAATTATTAAAGTTATAATTAATTATTAACGAGTATTAACCATTAACCTTAGTGCAGTCCTAATGTATGACATATAATCAATAACTCAGACATTGTTTGTATAGAAATACTGCGTTTTCCTAATGTTAACCTTACTATAATAATGCAATATTTTCTAAGTTAGTTAACATCTAATATAGGTAGTGTACAATAATAATATTTAATGCTTCTGCATTCTTTGTGGAATCGAAACATAATTATTATAACTTAAAGTTATTTTTAATGGAACAAAGAACCTAAGTGTTCGCAGCTGATTTTGTTATCTGATGGCATTTTACTCAATAATATACTAAATGTTTAAAAACTGTATAATACTAAAATATATTTTTTAAATTAATAATTTTAAAATAATAAAATAATCACCACTAGTGACACGTGTTATAAAGTGTCTTTAAAAATAATATTCACAACTTAGGAATTTGACATTTTGAAATCTGAATTCTGAAGGGAAGATGTCAAATTTCGATAATAGGTATATTTCTAAACTTATTTTAATTTGTCTTTAGTAAACGTTTCAGTATTTTAACTACGTATCGGTAGCAAGGTCCGAGGATATTGATTCATAAATTGCATCTGGCATCACAAATCAATATATTCGTCAGGGACAAAACTATTCGCATGCGTATCGCAGCTCAAGGACCTGGGAAAATCTGTGGCGCTTCATATAATTGCAATAAATGCATCGTGTTGCAGTGAGTTTTGCGGATATTATAAAGAAATCCAGGCAAAATCAACGGAATTAGTAAGTATTTTATAGCATTGTCTTGAATTATAGCAGCCTTTTTTAGAATATTTTCATTTAATTTTAGCGTTTTATTCAACCACTTTAAGCAAGTATATTAATGCAGAAATCCCATCCTAGGTTATAATCATAATTAACTATTGCTAAATTTACATACTTATATTATGTGAAAGTAACTTTGTCTGTGTTACCTATTCACGCTTACTCCGCTCAACCGATTTAGATGAAATTTGGTGTGGAGATAGTTTGAAACCCTGGGAAGGACATAGAACATAGGTCTTATCCCGGAAATCATCTCTTAAGGTGGTGAAAAAAGGCGGTGGAAGTTCGTATTTCCCCATATATATATATAATATATCTCTATAATTGCTCAAGTAAGGGACATTGTTTTTTTGGAAGTATTTACCTTCTTTTCTATACCTATGTATCATTAAAGTGTACCTAGGGACAGACCCAAGCAAAGCAAACATGAGTCATAAGTAATAAAAAAATAATACTAGTATGTCAAGATATATTGATGATTTGGCTTGATATATAGGCTGCACAGATTGTAGCTGCATCTGAGAATAGCCCCTTTTTTAAAATTAGAAAATGCATTTACACATATCATTCATTGATATGTGAGGACTTAGTGGCTATACAAGCCACTACTGCCCACTAAAACTTAATGAAACTGTCCTATCTTATCTTAATAGAGTGTGCTGAATTATTGTATAACCATAGGCGGGACACATATACATTACAACAGTTATAATTTCATCTGCCTCGGTACATCACAACCTCAACTAGGGAGTTGCTCTACTAAGTATCCACGGTCCACTAAGCTATCCTAGCATTAACATGAGTAACATTATACCTCTGAACAATCAAGGCGAGCCTAACTTCTTAAATGTGTCTTTTGGCTTCTTGCTTGGATTGGTAGACACCACTAAGCCCCCATCATAAGAAGGTGAACAGAAATTCACAGAGGGTTCTGAGAATAGCTCGTTTTAAAAAAAAATGGTTGAAACATATTTTAGGACAAATTCAGTAGAACAACTACTTAGTTAATGCAACATATGTACATATGAGGAGAATAATGTTCTGAAAGTCCTAATATGCACATCTTATTGGTGGACGATTGATTTTATTTTCCTGTTTGATAACTTTTAAATCTTATTAAAATATTTCAAGCATAATTTTTTTTTTATTATATTGATGAACTTCATATTTTAATTATTATTGTTAGTATTACACATTATAATTGAAACTTTTTATCTGCAATCACTCAATATTTGTTTTATATTTTTAATATGACGAAGCTACTGTAGGTTGTGGTATATAAAATTACTTATATTCTTGTATTGCTTTTGGGACATCTTTGTTCCATATTATAGCCAAAATAAGCTAATTGTATCTAAACAATTATAAAAATCATTACATTTTCCTCCTCCATTTCTCAGGTATAAATCGGAAAATATCGATCCTATGAAAAAATTGATAAGAATCAAAATTGTAAGAAATTTAATTTCAAACAACTTTTGTAATAACTATTTTTCGTGTACAATTGAAAATAAACGAGTTATTCAATAAATAAAAATCAACCCTTAAATTCAAGATGGCGGATGACGCAACGGGTCTGGTCTCCCCCTCTCCCCCTCAAAATTGCAATGTTTGCCCCTTTTTCGAGCTAGTTCGACTGGGGCTATTTTATGTGGAATATATTTGGCTTAGTAAATGAGATATAATTCAATCATGGTCATTTCCATTATTTGTATTTTACGTCTTTGCCCAAGAAAATCAATATAGCTATTTTCAGGCGAAAAAGGGGTAAGCGGGATGGGTACAAGCGCATGCGCGTTACCTACAAATAACAAAGGGTCACCTCGACTTCGACCTCGCATTAACGTACACCTATTAATTGATTATTGGATAAGTTTGAATTGTTTGATGTGCCACATCTTTGCTCTCGCTCTCCTGCAATTTTTGGGTGTGATTTCGTGAAATGGGACGAAAGTGTGTAACAGAAATTCGGAGAAGCGCGCGCTATTTGATTTGACCAATGAGCGCACGCGGTGGTAGAGTTGGCCGTCAGATGGTAAATAGTGTAAATTAAATATGGCGGACTCCCAAAGATGGCGGACTGTTTCTTTTATACACCAACATCCCCATGATATCAAATGAAAGGGTTTGTTGAGAAGAATACGAAAAAAAGAATAAAAAACATTAAAAAACAAGTTTAAGCATAAAAAAATGACAAGCTTTTATTTAAATGCTCTAAAAACTACAAAGAAGTATAACTTCTTACGTGTGCACATAAGTACACACACACTTTTTTCTTCCTTGTTGTTGTTCTGTTGAGAGCTGGAGTCCTGAGTCCTGACTTATAACCTTATTATTTTTATCACAGGTATTCCCGTATGTATCCCTTTATTATTCCCTCCACGACTGCGGACACGCCGGCGTGTCAGTTAACAATAAATACCTGGAGGTGTTATATGAAAGAAAAATATTTTATTTAACTACAATAACTAAAAAAATTCTAGAACATAAACTTTTAAAAAATGTAGGTTTTCACATGTCTCTTATATACAATTTTGCTCATATCTTCTATACAGATGATCCATTTTCATAATTCCAATTGAAATATTAGTTCTAGACCCAAAATGTATCTTTTTAGACTAAAATTATTGAAATATCCCTACAGACAAACATTCCCATTTTCAACTTAATTATACAAACATTCTAACAATAATCAAAATTCTTTTTAAACTTATTTTATTCAGTCTAATTAGATTACAATAGGAAATCTAATAGCAAATAAATAAAGTTAAATATTCTAATTTAGACCAGGGTCGATAATTTTTGAAACAAAAAAAAATGCAACAGTAATGCAAAAAGTATAGTCCAGATCCTCCTAGCCCCTTCCCCACTTCTCTATGAAATGATGGAATGATGACCTTTTGATGCGCTAAAATTTTCCGTAGGTGACTCAGGTATATAATCTTAAAATAGCAATCATATCAGTATATCTTAAAATATATAGCATAGCAGTATATCTTATAGCATAGCAGTATATCTTAAAATAGCAATAAATAGGCATCTACGCATATAATTTAAAAAAGATTCTGCTACTTTTTCAAAATATTGTAGATGTTTTATTAAATATTAACTTTATTAATTGCATTTTCTGAAAAAAATTACCATAGTTATGTATATTTTTTTCACACCATCAGAATTTCTGTAGAGTAGAGTCTACTTTAAGTAGAGATTTCAAAGAACAAAAAGCCCACCGACTTTTAAAAAAAGCAGATATTTTGACGGGAGAATTTTCGATTGAAAATTAGGGTGCTTTTTCGATATTAAGTCAAAATATGGTGAAAAAATATTTTTTTTAAATCAAAAAAATTACAGTATGTATGGGACATAAAAAGGTAAGTTTTCACCAAATTTCGTGACAGGCTTTTTTTTTGTAAAAGATAAATACAAAACCAAAACTTGGTTATTTGAATTTTTCACTTAAATTTTGAGGTTATGTGTAAAAAGTGTAAATACAAAAGTTGTAGATCTGTTTATTACCTACAACTTTGCGATAACTTTTTTCCATAGGGCTTTTAGTTTTGCCGGAAATCGAGATAACCCGTTTTTTACCCTTAAAAGCTGACTGACCCCCCCTCCCACTTCCCGATCTCAGATCGCCCCTAAATTATTTTTTTCTTTCATTTTTGTTTTATTCTCTTTAATTTTTTCTGTTTTATTTTTTCGCTTTTTAACATTTTCAAAGTCTTCAGCCCTGGTCTAATTAGAGTAAAATAAATATACTCGTAATAAGGTGAGTTGTCAGATGTTACATATCATATGCCACTAGTGTGAGGCTCGCTCGTTTTTATTTTTTAGACTTGGTTTCTTATACATTTATGTTGCACTTATAGCACCCGCGGCTTTGGTCGCACTAAAACTACAAAAAAAAACTCATGATAGGTTTCATACAAACTTTCATCCGCTATTTTAACCCCTTATGGGATGTTTTTTAATTATAAATGTATTTAATTTTATTGAAGAGCATTAATACCAAGTTTCAAGTAATTCTGATCACAAACATTTTTTCGGGTCTTATTTATAACGTGTTTTCTCGTGGGAATGAGATAATCTGACGCGGTAAAAATTAGCCTATTTCACTCTCCAGCCCTCCCACTATCTCCACACAACAAATCACGCCAATCCGTTATTCTATTTCGACGTGAAAGAAGGACAAACAAACAATCAAACACACTTTCACTTTTATGATATTAGTATGGAATAGTTTTTTTCCCACTTGTCGGTGGTTTGAGGGTCAAAAGGTAACAGACAGACAGAATTACTTTCACATTTATAATTATTAGTATGGACTTATTAACTAACTTAAGTCACCCTCCGAACCTTAGAAGTTAGAGGCGAAAGAATTATACATACATACTAAAATAAACGATGTGTTTTTAATATCATGGGTAAAATTACATGATATTAGTATTAATTAATAACATTTACGAAAAAACAAGATATACAAAAATCAAAATAAGATATGTCAACGACATTAAACTCCATAAACCACGCACCAATTATATATGGTACGAACTGTATATTGTTTGAAGGTGCCCAACTGTACAACAAATTGCCAAATGACATTAAAGAACCTAAATCACTACTAACTTTCAAAGAACTACTCAAAAGCTATTTAAAAAATAAAATTAATTAAAACATTTTTTTTGTTTAATTAACTAGGTATACAATTATTATAAAAAATTAAAAGTTACATTCAAATAATTAAATTGTACAAAATAAGTGGTAATACAATAGAATTAATACTTATATATAATATATACTTATATGTATAAACATAATAATAATAGTATTTCACATGTTATCACTACGTAAAATCGATCATAAAGAAAAAAATATTAAAATAGGTATAATATATCGTAAAATTTAGTATAAATTAAATTCAGAACAATAGCTCTTCTAGTTGCGCTTATTCTGTTAACCTGTGTATACATTTTTTAATCTTATCCTCTACTTGTTACTTGTCTTGCCTGTGAATTTTCGATGTACCCAATAAGTGTTAAGTCAAACTTTAGCTAATGTGATTTCTCATGTAAGTGAATTGTAATATTCTTTTGAGAAATAAATGATCTTAAACCTGAAAATGCTATTGAGCTTTGCTAACAATATACTTATTTTTGAACTACTGAATTTAAAATGAAAATTTATTTAATAGTGTTACTAAGTTATGAGTAAGATTATATATATAATCATTTATCACAAATTATGTGATTGTATTTTAGAAAAGATGTCTCTACGCAACGTAAAAAAGGTAGTAGATGCCAAATCCACTCAGGGCCAGTATGTTGGCTCGGATGACGACTTCGAACCATTATGTACACAAAAGTTATCTAAATCTCGTTACGAAGGGGTAAGTATGTTTTGTTTGGATACTTATTAATAACATGTAAAATAAATAATTTCTTTTTAGCCGGACTTTATTTGATAAATAATTGCAACTGCGAATGTCTGTGTATGTATATGCGAAATCTTAAATCTGATTTTATTATTAAAATGAATATAATGTGGTATGTAATAACATCCTCCCATGTTTAAAGTACACCTATGTATACATATTAACAATTTTAATTTCAACAGCTCCTTTTGAGCTATAGTTCTGGAGATGAAGATAAAGTTAAGGAGGCAGCTCTAACAGATACGGAAAAAGAAAATAACTTAATCTCGGAGGAAGTCGAAAAATTAAATTTACTTGAAGAAGGTAAGGATACTGAAGATCCGAAACCAGAATGTACCCAACTGGAAAAGAAGAAGAAAAAGAAGAAGCAAAAAAGCAATAGGAAACACGTAACGGGCGACTACGTATGCAACATTATTATAGCGAAGTTCAATGAAGTTATCATGCAATATTAAATTATATCTAAAACTCATTACAGGTTGATGAAATCGATAAATCTGTGTCCGAGGTGAACGCTATGCTCGGAGAGCCCTCAGAACCATCTGATTATATTGATGACTGGATTCAAGAGGCGAAAGCTAGTTTATTCTGTGTTTCACGTCGACATCTCAATTCGTCTAATGAACTGTCGCGTTTGTTCGGTCCCGAATCTGATAATGAACCCCGAAAAAGGTACAGTATAAAACATATACTTTAATATTTTTTTATCTGTATCTAAAGCATTTCACACATAAAAGTTTTGTTAAAAAATCATATAAAAGTGGCACTTATTTTTTTTAATTCTGTTTTTAGACATGGACGTCGTCCAAACTTAAAACGCTTCCACAATACTAAAATAATACATAAAGAATTTAGTTTTCAAAAAATAGGTATGTATGGTATTAAATTTCTTATTTTAATATATTTGATTTGAGAAATGTCTAAACCACAGAAATCTTAATAATAAGCTAATAGAAGTGGTATAGACGCGTGACCTTGTCGCCGCGCATGTGACTCGTAGGTCACAAGCGCGTGTAAAGCGTTTGTTGCGGTAACTAGTGTTATTTGAGACACGGAGAGGTAAACATGGTGTTTTGCAGCATATCCAACTGCGGAAATTCTTCCACAATTTGTAACTTTACAAATAAAGGGATAACATTTCATATATAAGTACTTAATTTTTGAAATAATGTCGTTTTTAAGAAATATAGCCGAATCAAATGTTTTCACCACCACTACTACGATTATCGCAGGAAAACGTTTTTTTTTTCAATTCAATAACCATTACCACTTAAGCTTGTTCATGTCTACTATTACAACTGCTAAAAGCAGCAATGAAATAATAGTCATGCGTAAAGAACAATATCGTCGCGTACGTAAATTCCAAGGACACGCCGCATAAGTTGACCGCGAATTAGTGACGTGCCACCACTATTTTTTATCGAAAATTTATTACGTTTGGCTTAATATTTTTCGTTAAATATTTAATTGTACATCTCATTATGTATGTTTTCTTTCTGTCTGAATAATTTATAAAAAGTCATTTATCAACGATTATCTGTAAATTCGTACTTTTAAACTACTTTTTCATTCAGAAAATTATTAGGAGGTAGGCTTATTATTGTTATGTATATGGGTAAGTCAAAAACAGTATGCGTTGAATATCCTTGTATCGTTGACATGTTCCGCATTTACCAAATATTTTTTTTGATTTGATTTGATTGAGTAAATAATTCTAAGGGCGAGTTGTTTGATAAACATAACATAGAAATTCTATAAAAAAATTTAAGTCATTGTTAAAAATGTATAGGATTTTAACAAATAGTATGCATAACTTTTGTATAATAATAATAATAATAATATTTATTGCAAAGGTATACACCCAATTTAGAATATAATAACATATATGTAGTTATACAAGTCAATTTTTATATCACTTATTTGCATATATATGCAAGTCAATAAAAACATTATAAAAACAAAATTCAGTCAGACTCTTCATTAAATTAAACTAGAATTAAAAACAATATATCGCTGTTGAGTGTATAACTATATAATAATAAAAAAAATTACTTACTTTTAACGTTTTATTGTATTCCCTTTATGAAAATAAATAAATCGTCTAAAATCGCGTCGAGGAATGAAACATAAAACACTTTCAATAAATTAGTTACCTATTGTTGCAAGACTCAACGGAAAATTATCGATATGAGCATTATGCGCTTTGTTCTGCACTAGAAGTGAGCGCGCGATATCATTCTGTGCTTTTCGCACACGTTTATTATTGGTCACAGGGATCACGGGTTCTGAGATTATGCGTTTTTAGAAAATATTGCGTAATGTCATCGCTTAAAGTTTAATTTTTGTTGCAACAATGCAAAATGCATGTGTGAGCGATAGTGTGTATTTATTGTTTGTCAATGTGTTGGTAGCTGCAAGCCGGCGACACGCGTCCCAGTACTAAAAGACCACAATGGCATTTCTATTACCTTATTATTAAGATTTCTGTGGTCTAAACTATTAAAAAAAAATTTGGTATATTTATTTATATTAAGCTTACCAAGCAAAGAAAATAAATATAATTTATAAATTATGATATTATTTAATTAGAATAGTAGTTACATTTTTAAATCATCAAGACTATCGCTTGTTTGATAAAGGTTTATCGATGTCCATCGAACGACGTGAAAAGGGAGTGACATACTTTACTTACGATCATGATGATGATTATCAGAAATTGCATCGGGAATTCTTGAGGGTGATCAGTCTGAGGTATGACGAAATATTTAGAATATAATATGTGATGAGATATTTAATTATATTGACATTTCTATTTTCGTGATCTACGTTTATCCGTCAGCAAAAGTACCACCATGGTACAAACTTAAAAACAGGAAATAAGGATGTATTTACAAAATGAGCTCTATTATAGCAGAAACACGCACATTTGTTCCGAGAACTCCCTACGAATTTTGTATAAGATTAAAATTCAGTATATAACATTTGCCAAAAAAAAAATTTTGGCAACTTAATTACTTTTAAATCTTTTAATTTAGTTTTTATATATAAAAAAGAACCCCAGACGTTTCTGTCGGTTATAAAGTATTACCAGACCTAGGTAAATAAAGACCTAGGCTAGTTACACATTCAGTCATATTTAGAATACAAATTAAATAGTTTTTAACTTTTGAAACTTACTTCGCTTAGCTAACTTGTAAAACGTATAGTTTCTTTAAAACGACTTAGCATGATGTGAGTGATCTTATTTATTAAAAATAATTTCTAATAAAATATTTTCAAAACCAGTGGCAGTTTTCTAATTTTTGCAATGCCTAACCTATGATTGCTATAAAGAAGAATTCAAATAAGGTCAAAGATTTTTTCATTTATAATATTACTTACATTTAATGAGGATTACTTCATCCAGAATAAATGTATATTGACTTATGTATAACTATATTATATTTACAATGACAGAAACACCGATCTAATGGCTCCAATAGAAGCGTCTTTAAAGGCCAAGCATGTTGAAGGGCTCATAGAGGTGAGTTAAACGATATATTGCCTGTGTGAACTTCTGAGATCTTCTATCTACTTACAGACAAAATTTTACAGGAGGAACATAAAACTTATTTATTAATTTAAAAAGAAATCGTGGAGAATTTTGATAAAAATAAATAATATGATAATTAGTATCATAAAAAGAAGCAAATACCAAACAACTATGTTGGTATTTACGTCGCTTTATGATATCATAATTAAATGCAGTTAGTATTGTGGCTTTGAATAAAGGATGGCATTAAAATAAAGTTTTGCAGGAAAATGCTAGTTAGGAGGTATCAGAAGTTCACCGACTATATTTAATTATATAAATTTAATATTAGATTATTTATTGGGTTGTATAAACACGTAGGGGTTCATATTAAAACAATACTTTAATATACAGGCGTCAGATGTGCTGTTTCGCATGGAAGATAATACTGCAGCAAGCAACGTTATTGAGGAAGCGATTGCTTATATGCAATTTGTTGCTCACCCATCTTTTAATATACTAGATGTAAGTACTTTATCCATACTAATATTATAAATGTGAAAGTGTGTTTGTTTATTTGTTTGTCCTTCTTTCACGTCGAAACAGAGTGACGGATTGGCGTGATTTTTTGTTTGTTCATAGTTGAAGGACTTTAGAGTGACATAGACCACTTCTTACCGCGTGAGTTTACCTAATTCCCATGGCAAAACACGTAATAATGCAATCCAAAAATATATTTTTGATCAGAATTACTTAAAACTTGGTATTAATACGCTTGAATAAAATAAATACGTGTTTAAGTATTTTTCGAAATTCATCCTATAAATGGGTAAAATAGAGGATGAAAGTTTGAATGAAACTACCTTTTTAGAGATTTTTTTTGTAGTTTTAGCGCGACCGAAGCCGCGGTTACTGCTAGTTAGTCTATATATTTCTCTTTATTTCCTATTATTACTGTCAACAAAAATGTTAACTATTTGTAAATTTTCAGCTAAACACACGACTAGAATACAAATATTTCGAGAATCGTGCGTTCCATATTTTAATATTAAAATATATTCACCTCCTAACCAACCGGGCCTGCCATCGCACTGCGCTCGAGCTGGCCAAGATATTAATGAATCTAGACCCCTCTGATCCTTTGGCAGTGGTGTTCATAATAGACACCTTGGCTCTTCGCGCCAGGGAACATTACTGGCTAGTAGAGACCATAGAATATCTTGACAAGGACCGCGAAGTGGGCTATCTGTTTAATATGAAGTTTTCCAAGGCCTTGGCGAGTTTCCATAATGCTACCGAAGCACATGGTGAGCTTATATATAATTAATTAATCATCGTTTTTTACTACTACTTTTTTATTGTTACATACACGCACCATACACTCCCACACGTATCACAAACACACACACCACACCACACCTAAACACACACACCACACCACACCTAAACACACACACCACACCACACATAAACACACACACACGCGCACACGCACGCACGAACGCACGCACGCACTCACACACTCACACGCACTCACACACACACACACACGCACATATACATACACACTATCACAATTATGTTGAGTTTTGAATTAAAAACACTATAGATTATGTAGTAAGTCTTACCTTCAAACAATTGTTTGAGAATAACAATAACTCTTCGCGTAGTCTGTAAGTATAAAATGTAATGAGTGGGGAGTCAATTTAACTTAGTAATGTTGACGTAATCCCTGACTGACTGTTGATATTAATTTCCTCTTGTCTAGCACAAGTGTTAGTTTATTTATGTAACCCCTTGGTGAGCATCGGACATGTTTTTGTTAACAATCACTGTAACCAATATTTGTGAAGGCAACTATCTTTACCTTAGATTAACTTACAAAAAGTAGGTTATGCCTAAGTCTCTGTTATATACCTATTTATTTTGAAAAGGAATGTATTTATTCAATCTATTGGCATTCATGTTCTAAACAATATCGCTTACTGCGTTTATTTGATATAATTCGCATTGCCGTAATTTTACCGACTTTTAAGTAAATCTTTACATGTAACAAAAAGGTTGTACATAGATTTACCATTTCGTCCCCTTTCTGTGTAAACCTCGTAACTCCATTTTTTTCGAAATTGAGATTTTTAGCGAAAATCACTCCTTAGCACTCTTGTAACGTAAAACAAAATATGCAATGTTCATAATGTTGATAGAATTTTTTTTAGAGGCTTTTGATTTTTCTCGTATCTACATGTTCGAATTCAAAAACCTCGTATCTACCGTAAGTATCGCTGAAAACGTTAAGATGGCGTTGTTGTCTTATTACTGAATGTTTGTAAACATGTTCACACTTAAGTTGACTGTATTTTGTTGATTGACATTTATTTTTTATTCATATGAATACATATAAAATTATTAAAATTTGGTAAAATTTGAGACAACTATTTATCAGAAATATTTAACTGTTGGTCATACACAAATGGAGTGCGACTCTGTTCATTCATCTATTGAAAGAAAAAAGAAAAACAAGGAACTCTACGTGCCAGCAGATTTTGTTCGCATCATCAAAGAAGCTAGAATGAATCCAGAGCCATATAAAGTTATTTATGTTGATCACACATTTTTTAAGGATTTTTCTAAAATAATTTTTTACAAATCGATAAGACCCGGTTCAAAAACAGGAGATCCACAAGTTACTGATTTAAAATGTCTTAAATACCATTCAACTGGGCTGTATTATAAACTCGATTACCAGAACGATTGGACCTTATTACCTCAAAAAAAATCTAGAATAAATGTAAATCGAAAAAATATTATCACTCCGTTATATAAAAAAACCGATTTCTATTACATCAAGAAAATTCAAAGATTTGCAAAGTTTGAAAAGATTGCTACCCCAAGATTATCATAATTTCTATGATCAATTAAAAGTTGAATCTACTGTAGAAGAATAAGTTTAAAAAATTATAAAATTGATCCTTACTTCTTAGTTCTAGTTATTGTTCAAGTTATTTCTTATTACTTATTTTTCAGATTATCCTGCTGTTAATTTGTACATTATTCAATAAATTGTAAACATATTTGAAAAAAATAATTAAATCATATTATAAATAGTAATCATATGATTTATAACACATTAAATCAAAATCAAATGAATTTGTTTTAATTAATAAATATAAAATAATAATGAATTGAATGTGAAAGCCTTGCATAACAAAATTTTTCGCCAATGATCTTATAGAAAAAAACAATTTTAATTTTAAAACCTCGTATCTGCAAAAAAGTTACCAGGGTATTTGATGAAAAAACTCGCATCTACGTTAAATTGATAATAACAACAAGGTATCGATGCAGATAGCAAAAATGATGTTTAATTATTTTAAGGTGATAAATAAAGAGTATAAATTTTAAATTAGTTATAACTTTTTATGAAAATTAAGTAACTCTAAACGTTTTTATCGATTTACTGAAAATTAAGATTTTGTAGATACGAGGTTTACACAGAAATGGGACGATTTGTACTTTATACTTTAAAATTGTATTTGTTTTTTAATTAGCTTTATTCAAAATTATTTTGTATATACATTATGTAGTATATACATATGTAAGTAGTAATAAGCTGTCATAACTTCTATCGAACATAATATGTAGTTATATGAAGCTTGCGAAGTTATATATCATTAAATATCCATTTATGATTTGAATTGAGTTTCAAATATTATTATAATAAAATAAATTCGTTAAATCAATTGATAGCTGCTGCGATATGTATTTAAAAGTGTGTTATGCTGTGCTTTATTTCACTCTGGTATCTGATAATAAATAACTTGTCATTTGTTTTATTAAAATGATTTCTTTTCGACATAAACGTACACCACATTGACTTCAAAAATATTTAACAATTGTGATTTTTTAGAATAATATTTAATCTTAAACTGAAATGGAGACGCCATTTTCGTTTAAATTTGGCAATGTTAATGTCTTGGCTGGCCACACACGGGCAGCTTGAAGCACCTAGTATCCACTGCTTCGAGCTGCGACCGCATAGCAAACTACAGTCTTCTATGTACACACATATACGAAACTGCTCAAGCAGTTGTAACTGCTCCGAAAGGTTGTTAGCGTGGTGAAATTTCATTGTACAGTCGAGCAGTCTCCTGGCATACACTGACTGTTCGAGCTGTCGACTATTCTCGCACAGTTGCGCTCTTCATTCCACGTCGTCGTCGTCTGAGCAAAAGTAGCGTGACTATACCATTTGGTATCAACTGCTCCAGCAGTTATCAATTGCAGCTTCCAGCTGTTGACTTTGACTACAAGAGTGGTCCGTATATGTTGATCACTGGCTAACTGCTCGAGCAGTCCGTCTATGGCCGGCCTAACCTATAAAAACCACACTAAATCGAATACCTCTTACTTTTTATTGAAGTCAGACAAATGTTGTATATGTAGAATGTAGATACTAATTAGCAGTTAAATTTTCGCTCGATCGATAACTTTAGTTTGACGTAGCCGAGACTTTAAAATTAAACCCTATCAGCTATTGTACTTACAAATTCTTCAGATTTATAAACATAAGTATTGTAAATTAATATATTTATTCTTATGTTGAAATAATTTTGTTTGCAGGCGATATGAATCCTTCTTGTCAGATGCTTCAACATGCTTTTATTTCTTATCCTTGGGCTTTGCGCGAGATCCTCGATGCCATCAAGCATACCGACGACGCTATACGAGCTTATACGCTGTTTAATGAGTTTGCGCAAAAATCGTAAGTTGATAACTATTATTGGCTATTTCGGATAGATGAATATCTCTAACATATTTTGTTTATTGCTTGAACATTTCGAATTCTCGTGACTTTGTATCGTTAATATTAACAATCAAGGTTATAATGAAGGTTTCGTACAACTAAGTAACCGGTTGAAACTATCATAGAATGTCCTAACCAATATTAACAAAACTAATTGTGAGAGTACTTTCTATGAAAGGAAGGGAAAAGCTAAATATAAGAGGTTTTACGTACCGTTACTTTTTTAAGTGTATTTATCTTTTTCGCCATTTAGTTTATCGTAAACTAGCGACTCACACTCGCTTGCTCGGGTTCGTTCCTAGGTACGTTTTCACCTTCGATCAACAATATTACCAGATAACGTGTCACATACAAAATCAAAGCGAATTTTTGTCCGCGCGAATATGCACTTATACAGCTTCATTTGTATACTAACGAACCAAGATAAAGTCTTATAATAGTTTTATTTTCAACCTAATCAACACCATAGCACCTTGTAATAAAGTCACAAATCTTCGAATCATCATCTTCATACACTTACGATCATTTCGTAAGTTTTATAATCTTTATGATTTTACAATAAACCTTATACCAAAAAACATAAAGCACTCTTTCACGTTCTTGCTTTCTGAGCAAAATCGTTATGTTTTGTTTCGTGAGCTAAATCGTTATGTTTTGTTTCTGTTTGCTTCTTTGTATTGGCGCGTATATTGGTTGACCTGGGCCAACGTTCTTAGCAGATTTAAAATTGTTCAAAATTTCATGTTTATATTATTTCGTAGGTTAAATCTTAAAATATTGACTTAATCTACATGTATTTACCGAAAATAAGACATTCAAAAACTAAATCAAAACTAAGACAGTTTACATACAAGTTACCTTATATTCGGCTAATCACTTATATCTTCTTTATGCTATACGCAAGTTACTGTTTTTATATTGTAAGGTCAACATGTCTCACTCTTCTAAAAATTTGCTTTACTGGTAAAAACTAGCCAAGTCAAATCTTGAACTTCAATTTATCCTAAGTTATCTACTCTGTGTAAATAATTCGACTGTTCAAATTTAAGAAGTTCTATTTTTAAACAGCAAACACTTTTGTAACAGAAAAAAAAGAAGAAATTGTGTTTTAAAATTATTTTAGCATGTTGTATGTTCTTATGAAAAAATTTCAGGATTATCTACAGAGCTTGGCACCCATTTAGATCTCAATTCTTTTGTCGGTGAAGTTGATAACCACGCTTATTCTTAACATTGAACTTGGCTCCCATTTTCACATTTATGTTTTGATGGGTATTGAGTACAGGCGCATTATTTCGTTTCACTTCACTTTGAATGTTTTTTAAAACAGTAGTACATCTCTTTGGGATTTCTTTTTTTAATCTTTTGTTAATTTAACACAACTTTAATAACAAATCGATACACGTAACGTCATCTGTTGTCATTAATTTGAACTTATTTTTCTTTGTTCGTGTTGAGACTCAATAGTAAATATTTAAGACAATAGACAATTAATGTGTGCTAAAATTAATAATTATACTACTTGCCAATAAAATGTGAGTGTTCAAATTTTGGGTAAACAAGTCCGACTAGATTTATACATGTTTTTTAAATAGTTCCTTAAACTAACAAGTTTAAAAATTTAGTAAAATATATTAAAAAAATATTTTCATTGTAGAACCTCGAATTATCTGAAGAATTTGATTCACTTGTACGCGGCTCTCACGGCTTCGCAATGGCGGGAGCCGCCTGTTTTGAATTGGTTTATAGAAAATGCCAAACTCATCGCAGAGCAGTATGATGAACATCCATTAACCAGGGTAAAGTATAATATTGTAAATGAATTGCTAAATGTAAGTGGAAGAATGCAATTTTCTTAAATGATATTATATTATTTGATTTCAGGAAGTTGTTGAGTCTTGGGAGAGTATGCGTCAGTCTCTGTTCCGTGGATGGCCGGAGCAAATACAGAGACATCTGAATATCATAAAATGCATGTCCAATTTGCTCGTCGATGGCGTTAGTATTTTTAATTTACGAAATATTTAGTGTAAAATAAAATTATCGATTCATGCATATTGTTACTATAATAATATATTCTTGCATATAACAATAAATTAGTGAACTAGCCGTACATTAGCGCATATACTACGGAACTTCTCAAAAGGGGCGACGTTCTTCTACTTAATTCTGCACTATCATCATACCGGGAGCTTATTTTGTCATCATTTCCGTTAAAAGCATAGTTGATGGAATACAGTATAGGTTTATAGTCTTATAAATAAACCACTATTATAAATGCGAAAGTATGTATGTATGTATGCGTGCGAGTTTGCGAGCATGTGGGTGTGCGAGAGTGCTAGTGTGTGAGTGGGAAGGTGTGAGTGTGCAAGTGAATGATAGTGGGAGTGTCTGATTTTGAAAGTGTGCCAATATATTAGTATGTGAGTGTGCAAGTGTGTATAAGTGTGTAAGTGATCGAATTAGAGAGCATGTGTGTGTGTGTGTGTGTGTGTGTGTGTGTGTGTGTGTGTGTGCGGGCGTGTGGGTACATGCGCGCGCGTGTGTGTGTGTGTGTGTGTGTGCGTGGGTGTTGTGTACGCGCGCACGTGTGCGTGAGTGTGGGTGTGTGCGCGCGTGCGTGTATAGTATGTGCGTGAAAAAAGAGAGAGCGCGTGTACGTGTACGAGTGCGAGTGAGCAAGCGTAAGATAAGTATACAAGTATGTGAGTGTGTAAGTGTATGAATGTACATGTGCGAGTGTGTGTCATCATCGATCGATAAGGGTCACAAATTGATTTCGATCGATTCGAGCAAGTAAACGATGATATACAAATATGTACAAATTCTTTTATATTCGGTACCTTATATGCATACGGCTATACGGCCTTACAGCACGCCGGATATACGGTATCTGGCCAAATAACTAATATCCGTTTTATCAACTTGCGTTAAACTAGATATGTCTGTATAACAGGAGGTGCCCGAAGCGCTGGCAACCCGCAGCTACGACCCGATTCCCCCACGCGACACCGTCAACCGCTACGGCTACAAGCTCTATCCCCTCGCACGGACCAGCCACGGCAATACGATATTCTCTCAGTTTTTTGCGTCCATCATGCCCAATTACGATGTATCCGAAGAGGAAGAGGAGTGAGTAATCAAAACTCTCTTACTTCTATTCGTTTTATGTTCTATGTATTTTGTATGGACGTTAAATGTCAGGAGTGTCGAACCTTTTTTTATTTTGGTGTATGAGAAATTGTATTATGCCAATATATTTTAATAATATTATGTCACGGTTTTTCGTTAACTATTATTTATACATTGTTTTCTTTTTATTTCTTATTTGTCACAAGTCAATATGTCAGTTTTTGTCACTGATATATAAGTATATTGGAATATAATTTTAATTTTTTGTTTCTAATAAGTTAAAATGGTTTTATATGAGCGTATTTTCATTATTAATATGTCAGTGGTTCGCCGTTCCTGTTTATATATATATATATATATATATATATATATATATATATATATTTGTAGCTGTTATTGAAACAGAATTGAGAATATATTATGTAAATTGTAGGTATTTTTGAAAAATAATTTTAATCTAAATATTGATTTTAGTTGTGTTATTTTAATTTTTGGTTATATTTGTTCTTGCATGATGTTAGAATTGTTGCGTTGAAACGAAAATCAAAGAGTTTCAATAATATTTTTTTATAAAAAGAATAACGGGGAGACATTACAGATTGCCATAAATAATTGTGAAATTTTGGAAATGCATTTAATATATTTTTTATTAATGTAACGAGCAATAATAATACATTGGTACACAACTATATATCTAAACTATACAAAATCGTACCGAGGATTACAGATAAATATTTACCCAGAACAATAATCAAGCCAGTATCACAAAAAAGGTTACATTAAAAAGAAAAACAGGGTTGTCTTATTAAATTGTTTCTTGTAGTAAAGCAATTAATTTACGATTAAAAATAACTAAAGTGTAAAAGAATTTATATATGTATTTCATACATAATACTTAGAATATATTCTTTGAATTATTTTAATCGCAAAATGTTTTCTATCACATCTTGTTTGTTTTAAATAAAATTATATTTTCGGATAAAATAATAAAATTAAACATAACAAACAGATATACTAAGTTCTTACTGTGTGGATCAAAATAATAGTATTTCAAATTAAAAATATTTTTCATGTCTAAATGTATGTAGTAATAGTGTTGCTTAATATATTTTTTTTAAATAATAGCAAACTAAATTAATCCCTCCACGACCGCGGACACGCCGGCGTTACAGTTAACAATAGATGTCTTAGAAATTTAATTAATTTCTTAGAAATTTACCTGGAGGTGTTAAAATTATTATACTTAATTAATTTTAATTTCTTAAATTACACATAGAACAATAATTTGACTTTAATTATTAATATTTTATTTTTCTTTATGTTTATAAATAAAATAATGGCAACACTAAATATAGATTACTAATTATTAAAGTTTTCTAAAATATTGTAATAATTATAATAATAACAGCTAAATTTACATAAATAATATTTGATATTTAATTATAAAACTTATTAAATATATAAAAATGTTTAAAATTAAAATTAACAAGTATTGCAAGGTACTTTGGTGTCATTTTTAAATTTTTTGAATTCATTTTTTTATTTTGTAGGGTAGTCTGTCTGTAACAACTATATAATGCCCTTGGAACATTTAAAACCTTAGTCTCTCCTGTGACCATGATTAATGTAAAGCATTGGAAACGTCGGGAACCAAATATCAAAATAAATTCGCGAAAAATCCAAAAAGATAGTTTTATTTAAAACTAGCATTGCCCGCGGCTCCGTCCGCGATCAGATGACCAAAAACCAAGTTCTTAGGTTATACGTATTAGTATAGTCTTACAATGCTAATTTTGTATTTTTTCTCAAAAATGAGATATTTTCCAGCGATAAAAAGTATCCTATATGTTGACCCGGATAACCAGCTATCATCATACAAAATTTCATCAAAATCCCTCTAGTGGTTTTCCTGTGATGCGGTGACAGACAGACAGACAGACAAAAATTCTAAAAACTATAGATTCGGTCTCTGTATCAATAATAATGTTTATTTCAATAAGATTTTCCAAAAAATATTTAATTAGATTCGGCTTAGTTACAATTTCATTATATGTATAGATATCAAATATTCGCGTGAATCTAATAAACTATTATATATGTTTGTTTTTACGATAATGAGGCATATCGTGAGAGAAGATTAAACTGATTTTTATTATTATACATAAACTTATCAAAAAATATGCCGAACTATAACTCTTAATTTGACACTTCATGCATTTCTATTTGAAACAATTCACTCTTTGCCTATATGATGTTCTTGAAAGTTAGTGCCTTATTTCGTTTGGGATTTGGATGTTTTGTTTTCATATACTAATGTTTTCTTAACTTTATCTTCAATTTCGTTATTTTTCAATTCAGCCATATTTTTTGTGGGCTAAGATTAAAATATTTTAATTTTATCAGAAATGCTTGGCTTATATAAGGCTTTGTTTGCTTTTTAAATTTATTTTGTATTATTTTTGTTGTACATGAATGTTTTCAAATTCCAGATTCAGACCATAGCGCCGTTGTTTGGGAAATATTTCCAAAGTTACCTGAAAAATATAACAAAGCTCAGGTAGTTTTGGAAATATAATATATATAAGGTAAGAGAGTGAGAAAAATATCGACGTATTCGTTTTTAGTTATGCTTGTAATTTTATCTCATGAATTGTCATGAATTGCCATTAATGGTTCACGCATAACTTTTATAGACAATGATATGTTTAGAATACGAATAAAATAAGTAAGTCATCTATCTATATGCTGATTCTACAAAATTTTGGCAACTTGATATTTACCAATCAATAAATAGCGCATGCTATTCGTTGTTTAACGAGTTTCATCATTCATAAAAAAAACATTAGTAATGACATATTTAAGTCGCTTTCATAAATTAATAAAACGTTTATACAATAAATTGTATAACCGTTTAATATTATAACAATCTTAAATTCATACATTTAAATAATGAATTCGATGAACTTTTAACAATTTACAAAAATAACGTATTAATAACAAACTTCTGACTCCCGGCCTCGATCTAATTATCATAATGAGAAGACAATAGGATAGTAATTCTTAAATTTATGATAATTTTTTAATGAATGATGATTATTTAAGATATATTTAACTTACGAAAAGATAAATGAATCAGCCATTAAAGTTATGCCAACTAAATCTGGGCAAAAGTAGTCCATATTTTGTAGAGTCTCCTATAAGCTATACATACATACACACGTATAATAAAATGACGAGGTGAGAGTTCTATGAAAAATACGTTGATACGGTGTTACGGTGTGATGTATGGCAGTTTATAGTGAAGTGAGATAGGAAAAATATACTATGTAAGATTAAATTAAACGTAAGGTCAGACATTTACTTTGTAAAGAGACAATTTAATATGTACGAATAAAAGTTTAGAGCCTTAAAGATTATACGACATGCATGATGATGTTCTCCTAGCCGATTCCGGCTACGGCGGCCAATCTCATTGAGATTAGCCAACTGCGCAGGAGATATTATAGTGCTCAAGTGTACGCGCAGACACAAGTGCACTCTCTATTCCTATCACTCTCATACTCCGGTGGGACGACCACTCGACACGACCAGTGAGAGTTAAGGCGCAGGACCGACGGCTTTACGTGCTCTCCGAGGCACGGGGGTGAAACACCGCCAACTTCCCAACTCCGGGCTGTTACTGAGACTTAATATACAGAAAGACTCAATAAAAATAACTTTCGAACCCAGGACCTCCGGGTGTGCAGCCGTACATGCTAGCCACTACACCACCGAGGCAGTTAGGTTACGACATGCATAGTAGATACATCTCAGTAGTCAACGTTTGATCATAAATACATTTCACGACGTAACTAGTAAAAAAATCTTTTATAATCATGTAAGAAAGTAGGGTACTTGATTTTTGTTACAAATAGTACAAATGTTTATAGTTTTATTATTTCAATTTGTGAGAAAAAATATTAATCTTTGGAAATTATTTTAATTTAAATGGAGTCTCAGCAATTAATGATTTTTTATTTAATAAATTAATACTTGGATACATTACCTACCTTCAGAAAAACAAAAGTGAAACATTTTTTTTATAAACCTAGGAATTGCTATATAGTTTTCCTTTGTTCTAGCGCTCAAAGATGTCATTATAGTACTGCAGTTGTACAAATTAGAACTAAGTAGATATAAATGAAATTAAACATACATAGATAAATCACATGTAGGATTATAGAAAAGCAAAATTAACGTAACATCTTTATGCTATTTTGTAATGGACATAGGTAATATTGTATGCATGAATCATAACGCTATTCGAATATATTTTATAATTCCGTTTGCTTATCCTGTGAATAATTATCAGGATATTTAATGTAAAATAGCAGATTTTTATATTTTTATATCACATTATAGCCTATATATGAGACTAAAATTAATAACTTTTTTCAGTCCACAAACTAGTGTAGTACAAACAGAATCAGATCTCAACCTGCCTTCTACTAGCGGGGCAGAAGAGACAGCGGAGGAGCCTCACGGCAGTTCAGAAGAAAAAAATACTACTGGGGAAACAAGTGATAAAAAAGAGAGTGGTGGGAATGTCCCAGACGACAACAGTAATAACGATGATGAGGAAGGCGAGGATGAATATGACAAAGAAGACGAAGACAATGACAGCGACTATTATGACGATGATGATTCGTATGACTACTCATACAATTTCTCGAACGACAACGATACTGAAGATCCATCTGAGAGGGAAAACAATCCGGGCAATAATGCAGAAAATATTGATTTTCCCGAAGAAAATTGGGAGTTAGACGATGAAGAGTATCAAAGATACTTAGAAGCTTCGCGTGCGGAAGTAGAACGTCGTGCGCAAGAACTTGCAAATCAAGAAAAACTAGATGAAGCTGCAACTGAAGGTCAGCAAACCCAGGAAAATTTACAATTTCAAGGCATACCAGAGGAAGAAGAAATAGACGAAAGTGAAACTGATATGAAGGTGACTTTAAAAAAAAATAATTACTTAACTACTTAATATAATCAAAATATATTTGTTACGTTTTATGTCTATATCTGTTGTTTTCTTGTATGATCTAATTTTCTCTATTGGCTCTGATTAGATAATTAAGGTTATATCTAGATAATATATGAAAATTTAATATTCATTAGATATTTCGTTTTTGCAAGTAGTTGACTTCAGTAATCCTAAATGTTACCCGGTCCCATTCAATGTTACATGCTTATATTTAGTCTACAAAGATAATAAAAAAACAAAGAATAATAATAATATGCTACTCGTATTTGACTATTATATTTAAGTATTCAGCTTACAATAATTCTTAATATTAGTTACAATTTTGTTATTTTCATAAGTTACCCCTTAGTTATCGAGACAACAATCTTTCTGAAAATAAATTGGTATAATGTTATTTTGATTTGAATTGTTATTTTTATGTAAAAAACTGATACTCTTATATGTTTAAATTTATTCTACTTATAATAAATATTTAAGCTAGGGTTAAGTCAATTGACATCTTTATGTGTTATATGGAAATAAAGGTTGAAAAATGACATGTTCTTATTATTTTAATGTTTAAAATAGAATCCCTAATAGTCCAATCGTAATCCGGTTTGGGAACAAAATATTGAAAACCTAAAGTTTTATGATGTAAAACAATGAAACACTTTTCCTGATATAATCGTTATATTGACAGTAGGTAATTAATAAAATTTTATACACAACAAAATCATACGTCGCGACCCCAAACGTCAATCCATAATGTCTTCGTCGTCATACTTTTCCTGCCTGCCTGGCACCTGGGGAGACGAACACCACAGAGGTTGTATGAAGGCGTACTTGATGTCTTCGAATAAACTAGCGGAGCGTAACAATGATTTTAAAATGTTATCAGGTATATAAGGAATAGAAATTCGTAAAATGCCCCCTATGCCCAGCAACCCCCGGGAAATGGGGGGACGCAAAGCGTTGAAAAATAGTTTTTTTTTTCAATTTCCAGCTTACTGTGACGTTCTTTCGAAAAATGTTTTCTACAAAACTAGGTAGGCTGTAGGTCTAGTAAAAATCTACAACTTTTATAAATAACACTTTTTACAATAACCTCAAACTTTTCGAGATATTTGCAAAAAGCTCGGTTTTTAACTGTTTCGTGGTTTTTTATTTTTTATTTCTAGAATAATCTTTTGATTTCCATGAAACTAAAAGAATGTAATTTTCGAAATACATATAATAAATAAAAAAGAAAATGAAATTGTAATGTTTAGCCATTTCCGAGAAAAGTGTGTTTTATGGTCTCGAGAGGCTGAAAATCACCCACAACTTCATGTGGGCGTTTACATTTAAAAAAAAATTGTAATTTTTATGATTTTTTAACAAAACTATGAATAATTTTTGTAAATAATAACTTAATTTTTAAAATATATTTTTAACTAATGAATAAACAAGATTAGATTATGAATAAATTTCATTTCTTACTGTAATTTCCTTAAAATCAATTTTTTCAGAAAAATCAATAAAATTAACTACAAAATCGATCAAAAACTAATAAAATATTGATAAATTCAAAAAATAATAATAACATAGATTCTGCGGCAAAAGAATACAAAATCACTGGTGTATTTTACGTGAATTCCGAGTTTTATTATTTTTTCAAGACTCATCAAATTGAAAAATTGGAATGTTTACGGCGACATTGTATAAATAATATGCGTTAAATTAAAAACTTAAGGATACAATTTTGTTTAATTTTTTCCTGAAAAATACATTGGTTTATAAAAATTTGGTCAATAAAGTGCACTTCTTAAATGATAATTGAAAAAATGTAATTGACAAAGTAAAAATTATCGATTTCTCCTTTTTTTTTAATTTTTAAGAGTGTTTTTATAAGATGATGTGTGATGTGAGAATGTTTTTATATTTTCAAAAAGTAGAGTTCAAGACGAAAAGAATGAGCCCTATCTAAAAATTGAACGAAACTTTTTTTAAATGTAAACGCCCACTTGAAGTTGGAGGTGATTTTCAGCCTCCCAAGATCATAAAATATAAATTTCTCGGAAATGGCTAAATATTTGAATTTCAAATTTTTTGCTTATTATGTGTATTTCGAAGATTACACTCCCTAAGTTTTATGAAAATTAAAAGTTTGTTATAAAAAAAAAGCAATAAAAAATTAAAGTTTTTAGCAAAAATATCTCGAAAACTTGAGGTTATTGTAAAAAGTGTTATTTATAAATGTTGTAAATATTTACTACATCTACAACTTTTGTACAAAACATTTTTCGTTAGAACGTCACAGTACGCCAGAAATTGAAAAAAAAAACTATTTTACGAATTTCTATTCCTTATATACCTGCTAACTTTTTAAATCATAATACTTCAGGTTTTCAATCATTCTTTTTCTCTTAAAAATAAACGGATTCCGATTGGTCTATAAAAGAATATTTTAAATTATGTTTGACTATCGAGTATCAAAGGACAGAAATCCCATCCCATTAATTTTATAAATGCGAAAGTTTGGACGGATATATGTTACTCAATCACGCCAGAACGGCTGAACGGATCTGGATGAAATTTGGCACAGAGATAGATTATAGTCTGGAATAGCACATAGGTTATTTTTCATCCCGGAAAAAAAAACGGTTAGCGTGGTGCCCCACGATTTGGTTTTCACTAGGGACGAACCCGAGAGAAACGAGGGTGAGTTTCATAGTTCATAATACATTTATTCGATCGCGGTTGAGATTTTGGCTGGGATAATTTTCTTTGTGGTTTTGGTCATTAGGTTATATTTTTTCAAAACATTAGGCTACTTGGTAATAACCTGACTACCTATTTCAACTAAAATAAAAGCAATAGTTTCATCAGGAACGAAGAAAAATAGTTTAAATAAATGCTAATAGACGGCGTTATGTGTCGAATTGTAATTACCGATTACGATAAATTATTAAAAGAAAACAAGATACTAAAAACTAAGTAAAGGGACTTGAAATAATTCATAAATTAATTCCGTAATTAGGTGTTCTTATGACTTAGTTGTTACAATCAAAAACAAATTTCAATAAATTTGTCATATAAAATGCAAAATGAATGATATTTCTATATTATTTTACATATTTGTTTATACTAAAAAAAGTTTTACAGTTTGCGGATTATCGCCATCTATCATCTATTAGACAAAAATAGCCCGAATTGAGTATCAAATTGTATATATTAGAAAAATGACTTCTAACATATGTCAATAGATGGCACCGTATGTATCGATGTTATTAAAATGTAAAATAAGCAAACGATAAAAGCAGTCCCTAAAAATATATATTATGGTATCAAATTTATTTCTAACAGAAAAAAAAACAAAATTATGTATTCCTAATTATACTGAGGTTTGAAAAATCAGCGTTCAGGTAATGTTTGTAACGCGTAATCATAGATGGCGCTTTTACTACTTAGTCTTTATGGTTTGTTAATTGTTCATCAGTTTATTACTTTATTTATTTGTTTAATTACATTCAGGTTTTGGACAAAAAAAAACAAAAAAAGCAAACTAAAAATTTGAATAAATACAAAAAAAAACAAAAGTTACAAGCTTTGTATCCGACCGGGATACGACACCAGACACCTGTGGTTGTCAAACTTGCGCCTTGGCCGCTTGACCAAAATACTTATATCTTATCGTGCGAATTAGCGACCATATTTTGCGTGGAATAATGCAAAACAATACCGCATGAAAATTCGAAAACACGCATTTTCCCAGACATAAAACTAATCTAAATCGATTAATCGCCCCCGAAATCCCCTGTATACTAGATTTCATGAAAATCGTTGAAGATGGATATATATTTATATATAGAATTGCTCGTTTAAATATATTAGATATCGATGAAATCAAATAAGTATATATCTGCGATCCTAGTAAATAAGGAATATGCGTGTGATTTAGATAAAGGTGAAATATATTTTTTTAATTATTAATATCAATATTTTTTAATGTAGTTTCTTTTTGAATAAGGAAATAATTATGAAAAAGTGCAAATATAAGCGGGAAATTCAAAGCAGTTGACACGTACGCCATTGGTCAGACTAGGCCTAATATGACGCAAAGTATTAGATATCATTAAACAGAGCGATTACTGATTTTGTACCAATTGAGTCGTCATTTTTCTAGACAAGTGGTGCAAAGTAGACAAATATCAGAGGTGCGAGATACGAAATTTGAACGCTTCTCTCGGTTTCCCAAACGAGCGCGTTACTACTGGGCTACCACTGCCTTATCCGTATTGCTATAATATTTTAAAAAATATATACTAAATTTTAGTTTTTTGGAGGTGGTTATTTTGTTTTACAATTATATAACGATGTTAGTATAAATATTAAAAGACATCACGCATATTCCTATTGTTGATAACCGTTCGTGTTTTGTGGCCACGACCCTTTTGACATAAAAACAAAAAAAAACCCGACTTAGAACGAAAAAAGGTGCGCACAGGCGTGAACCCGTTCTCATTCACGGTTACGTCCTTGCTCGGCGGTTATAGGGGTGAAATATTTCAGTGACCACTCCACGTCCACTTGTATTCTAACTTCATGGTTAAAATATATTGATGTCAAAAATGTCATTTTTATAACAAGTGAGTTGCTTAGTTGATATATATTAGTTTTTTATTTGTAATCGTCTGCATTTTAAGTTAAATTTGATTAAATATTTATTCACTGTATTATCCTATTTCATTTTATAAAAAAAAACATCGATTCAATTAATAATGTATAGTCGACTTACTTCTATATTTTGTATAATAGCAACAGAATTTTGCGAGAGGTTTTCTTTTTGTGGTTTAAGAAGTAAGTAATATTAAAATTACTAATTAGTTATTACTACTTAATCTAAGTATACAAGCTACTCGTACATAGTGTCACCATGGAATGTAAAATGATTCACTGAATAAAATTAAAACAGCGTAATATTATATTTTATTTTTTCGATTACAGCTATTTTATCGCTATATTTGCGAAATGTGCTTTGTCTCCACGAGAATGCAGCCACTGTGCTATACCATATCTTTATAATGATGTGCTACACTATGCCTCTGATAGGAGCCATCTTAGCGGATAATTTTATTGGAAGATATGGGTATATTTGCGTGTTTTAAAGTTTTATTTTTTAGTTTAATAATAATAGTTTAGCAGTTTTAGGATAAGAATTGTCACAATAAAATAATTCTTGAATTTCATTTATTCTCCTGAGAACAGATTATTGTTGATTTACTTACCCTAGTATAAATATTTTAGTCAATAATTTTTTTAGTAGTGTAAAGATGAATAGAATACTTTTATTCCTATTTCGTCTCTTCTCTTAACGTACTATGTTCATCATGTTTTTAATTTTTTAGGGTTATATTATATTTTTCTATAATCTATTTAGTCGGTGCGGTATTTTTGTGCTGCTCAGCAATACCTCCCTTATGTCTCCCACCTATGTAAGTAATTGTTTTATTGTAATATATATACTTTGTATACATAGAACGCAGGTTATAGGTATAGGTAATATAATAAAATAAATGACAATATTATACTAAGAAGAAATGGTGTCAGTGTCAGGCAGGCCATTAGCTGTGGTTATGATAATAAAAATATAGCTAACTAGCAGAACCCGCGGCTGCGCTTGCGCTAAAACTATAAAAAAACTATAAAAAGATAGGTTCCATACAAACTTTCACCCCATATTATAGGATCCCTCTTATGGGATGAATTAAAAAAATGCTAAAACACGTATTTATTTAATTGTATTAAAGAGCATTTATACCAAGTTTCAAGTAATTCTGATCATAATTTTTTTTGGGTTGTATTATAACGTGTATTCCCGTGGGAATGAGATAATCTCCCGCGGTAAAAAGTAACCTATGTCACTTTCCAACCCTCCAACTATTTTAACACAAAAAATTACGCTAATCGGTCACGCTGTTTCCACGTGGACAAGAAGGACAAACAAACAAACAAACAAACAAATAAACAAATACACATTCACATTTATAATATTAGTATGGATGTCACACTCTCATGATAAGACACGTTTACCTGCGATAGTCTCGTTAATATCTTTTGTCAACTAACACTTGGGAACCCTATTTATTCCCTTGATAAAATAACGTCATTCTCTACCCGCGAGCAAAATTCTTAAATCTCATCAGTTGTCCTGAAGCTTAGTGAATTAAAATAGTCTCCTTCTATTCTACGTGACACTGACGAAGTAATTTGTGCTACAGTCAGTGTGTTGTGTAACAGACAGACAGAGCTACTTTCGCATTTATATATAAGTACTACTATGGATTACGAAAGTTGTATAATTCATAGTGGCATTTATATTGGTTTTATTTTCAGTTCTACTTCAATGCTTGGACTAGCACTGATAGCCACGGGCACTGGAGGCATAAAACCTTGTGTAGCCGCGTTCGGTGGTGACCAGGTCCAATTACTAGATATTTCTTTTAACAATTTTTTTTTTTACATATTACACATTTGTTTATTTAAAAATAGAAATAGTATGTATTATTTATTTATAATCTATATATATTTAGGTATATAACATTTCTTTTCTATACGAAAGCGTTCCTAATAATTTAAATATAACTAGAGACTTACCCTCGCTTTGCTCGAGTACGTCTCGTTATGTACTTGAGTACGTAAGGGACGTTTTAAATTTTAAAAAATAGTAATTGCAAGTGTACCTTAGGAGATAGACAATTATGCTATTGTAGACTTTTCTGTATGCCTTTTAAAGAGGTACAATTTTCTAAGTACATTGTTTTGATCTCTCTTAAGGTTACGCGTAGCGTAGCGCTAGCCTTGTCTAAGGACAACTCGACCAAACCAGTTATGGTGTTTTCCATGAGAATGAAAGTTTTTCCTGTAGTAAAAGGCATCCTAAATGTTGGCCGGAGTAATAAGTTATCACTACACAAACTTTGGTCAAAATCCGTTCTGCAGTTTTTAATTCAATACATAGAAATACAGACAAACAGTTAAAATTTCAATAACTATTGTTTTGGGGGTCTATATTCTGTTCCCAATAAGTTACAGTCCATTGTTTTTAAAACATATTTCAAGTACAGATTTCGCTTTCTTATTCTTATTTTATTAAATGTATCTACTATAGATAAGATTCTTATCTAGTTTTTAAAGGAAAATATATGTTTTATAGTTCCGTCTTCCTGAAGAGAATCACAGGTTACAAAAGTTTTTCTCAACCTTTTACTGCACAGTGAACTTGGGCGGATTTATGGGCATGGTTGTGACACCAACGCTGCGTAGAAGTGTCATGTGTTTTGGAGATGACACATGTTATGCTCTGGGATTTGGTTTCCCTGCCGTTCTCGTACTTATTTCTATTGGTGAGTTTGTTTAATAGTAAAGCTTTACAATAACGTATAGTTTTAGCATCATTGTCAATATTAATTTTGTATGTTCCTAATCCGCGACTTCATCCGCGTTGAAAAATTTTCTTGGTTTCTTTTTTAATGCTCTTGAGATACAATAGATTGATAATATGTTTACAGTTTAATAAATATCCACCGGTGACATATTGCCGTACCTACATACAGTGTATGGTTTATCCGTAATGTGACAGGATATAATCATTCTGTTTTACAAAAACTTCTTCAAGAACTTCCACGCAAGCTTTCATCCCCTATACTTACATAACCCCTTTATAAATTTATAATAGGAATGAATTTTACAAATTCATGCTCAGTAGGTAGGTACTTGAATTCGTTGTACAACCAATTCTCGTGCAAAGCTTCAAGAACCAGCGGTTTAAGTTGTTTAGCAAGGTATGATTATCTAAAAAATAAAAATAAATGATGTATATATCTATTTGTATATTTTCTAAAGTAAGAAATACGTTTTTCTTTTTAGACATATTTTTCTAAGCCTAAGCATTTTTCTTTTTACATTTACTTTAAAACTATCTCGTGTGTTACGGCACCGTAGGCCCTATTATACCTACATAGTATGAGTACCTGTAACACTATTATCAATTACTAGTGACACCCTCGCTTCGCTCGGGTTTGTCCCTAGGTTGATTCCCCAAATAAACATTCATTCTAATTTTCACCCGCCTTAGGGATGATTTCCGGGATAAAAAGGTGTCCTATGTCGTTTCCAGGGTCTCAAACTATCTTCTTACCAAATTTCATCTAAATCGGTTGAGTAGATCCAGAGATTACCCCCTACAACGTCACAAACTCACAAACTTTACGTCTTTATAATACGAGTATAGGTTATATTATTATATTACTAGTATTAGTATAGGTTATGTGACCTGTGAAATAGCTCTCTAAACTATGTTCTTTATGGATTACTTCTTATTATTAAGTTACATTTAGAGTTATAGAAGATTTAGTTGATTATTTTCTTTTCAGTTATATTTATTATGGGAAAACCGTGGTATAAAATTAAGAAGCCTCGAGACACAGTTACATTGAAATTTGTCTCATGTGCATGGGTCAGTATGGCATCGAAAATCTACTCAATAAAACAATATCAAAATAGCAAAAACCCTAATAACATTTTTCTGAATTACGTACATAATATATAGTATAGTTACGTTGCACTCAACAGAGTGCAAAGTATCCCCCCTTATGTTTTATGTAAAATCATCTCTTATGCTCTACTAGGAATGAAATTAAAGAAAAGGGCAAAATAATGAGTTATATGATTAAAAGAAATAGTAATCGAATTAAATGGATATTGCACATTAGTAGGGGATGTACTGTAGGTATAGTTTCTGGCATTTTAAAACCGAACGAATTTGATATTATACAGTTTTTTAATGTTTATAATAAAATCAGCGAGGTAAGCGTCAATTAGTGCACTTGCGATGGACAGCGCCGTACACGTTCTAAATGACGTTGACGGTCTTTCTGTCGTTAAAAATACGACTGGCGATTTTCACTATTATTTAAAAAGAGTACAAAAAATCAGCTGCGTAATTTTTTTATACAAAATAAAAAGGCCTCATACTTTAAATCTTTTCAATGCGATTCTTACATATACCTTCATGACTGAGAGTGACGTTTTGTAACGTAATTTTTAACGTAGATGAATACAATTTTTGACTTAATATGAAATATGATTTCATATATGTCATGGTATGAAAACATTTAAAACCAAATTCTTTCAAAACCTTTCACTTGCTGTCGTTTTTAGGTCCAACGGTACTTAAGTAGCTGACGCTCAGAACTCCAATCTAGTAGATTAAAGCTAATATGGTTATGAATTTCAGTTGGTATGAAATGTCTAGATATAAGCCTACTTTATATAAAAGATTAAATAGAGAGAGAGAGAGAGAGAGAGAGAGAGATGTTGCTGAATGATCGTTTTCACAGTTAATAGAGGCATCGAATCGAAATTGGGTTCAATCAAAAATTGGTGATAATAGCGTATAGAGCATGATGTATATTTATTTTAAATTAAATTATTTTTTAGTCAAAACTACTTTTGACTAACTAGGATGGTAAAAGTAGTTTTGACTGCGGGTTTTTTTTCTAAAAGTTCTAGTCGTTTAAGGTACTGTGGTCAATGTTCTAATCAATGTTCTAACCTAACCTAGAAAGAAAGAAAGAGTTCTTCCGAGTAACCTTCAACATACATTACCTTAACTTTTTAAGAGATTTTACCGATATCATTAGTGCCGGATTCAGTCTTAGCACCCGCCCCTGTGCACAGTAAATAACTGCTATTGACCAAGGCCTACAGTCAAAATTACTTTTGACCAATCTCTTTAGTCAAAAGTAGTTTTGACTAAAAAATAGTTTTGACTAATATATATTACACTCGCTTCGCTCGTGTGCATCCCTAGATACATTTAAATTTTTGAGAGGGACCGTAATTCTTTTTCGAAACTAAAAATATCCTAAGTTACTTCTTATAACACCATCTGTTAGTGAAAGTCCCGTCAAAGTCTGTTCAGCAGTTTCGGTGATTACCCGGAACAAACAAACAGACAGACACGTTTTTAATTTCATATGCATTTAGTAAAAAACTGTTATTCTGACATTACAAACAGACACTTCAATTTTATTTATCTGTTTGTATAGATTATTTAAGTACTTTGACGCCAAAATACGAGTACGAACAAAAATAAAAGCTTTGAGTCTATCACTTTACAAAAAGGTTTAATACAAGTTGAGCTTTAATAAAAACTGAAAGTTCCATGAAATATTTTATTGATGTTGCAATATCAACATAACAAGTGATTGAAAACTTGTGAAACAGGACATGAAGCGCTTCTGAGTATTGTTGCTTCGTAAAACGCAAGTGATGCCAAATACCTACATACCATACGTTGTCATATTTACACAAAAGAATTTTTATTTTGCCATTTTATTTATTACACAGTACTACAAATATAAAATAGACAAATGATATTTATATATATATATATATATATTTGATAACTTACATAGCACACAAATATAGATCTAGTGCTAATAGCACCTGTTTGTAGGGTTCCGTACCGGACCGTTTTTATAGACAATGGCACGGAACCCTTTGTGCGCTAGTCCGACTCGCACTTTTTCGTTTTTTTCCAACTTTTCATGTCTAGTTAAATCTAGATATTTCGTAAATAATTCTATTAAATTACCTTTATAAAATGGAAACTACAACGAGAATTGATTGATAGTATTTTTGTACTCTAGTTCTTTACCTATTGGAATGATGGATGTGCCCAGCAACCTTTCGTATTTTGCTGTGGGGCCATCAATAACATCCAATATACTATTTATAATATCCGAGGAAAATATAAAGGATTTATTAACCAGAAGGCATGATTAAATTCCTATTGTACATTATGCAGTTGTCTGTTTCTCTCAGGATGTGTAAAGTAATGTGGCACCAACAAAAAATATCCAGAAAACACAAATGATACAATTAATTTAAACTACAAAAATAGGTCAGTGTTCTCCCGGTGAATTCAAATCGATCGCAAAAGATCATAATATGAAGTCTGATGAGTCGGATGATTAAAATCAATAATAGGTCTAATTTAGTTGATTAAAAATATTACTCTCTAAAAATATATTACATAATATACAACAGTTACCTATATGAACTGTTTCTAACGGTTCAATTAAACTAGATTCAACAAAAAACATCAGCAAACAATCCCTAGTTCGGGACTTGGATGCAAAAATGCACAACAAATAAAAGCGACTTAATAGCGATAAATTCAGACCGGCGCGATCGCTTTCAACCAAGAGTTGAAAACAGTGAATAGATGGTTAATAGCTCTTTCACGTTACTAGTCTAATATAGTAAATAATATAATCTGTGATATTACATAACTTTACATACTTTACATATTTTTTGATAAATATGTATTTACAAAATAATATACATATTAGTTATTTTCCATCATGCTAAATAGAATGTTTAATTTTTAGTCAAAGGTCAATTTCCCAGAGTGTTCCATATCTTGGACCACTTTAGGTGCTTCGAATTATTTCACTTTGTTCATATTCGAAATATTTGACATTGTTCATGTAAAGATACGAGTACTTTTGTGTTTGGTCTGAACTCTGAACAATCTCGTATGCACTTGATGATATTATATTGCTTTATCTTAACTACAATATTATTTCAATTTTCAGTTTGCTTTTAAGAGGCGTATTCGCTATGATAAGAATGTAGATGGTCCACCCCGCGGCCACTGGCTAGAATATTCTATTGAAAAATATGGAGAGAAACTCGTTTGTGATATGAAAACTGTGTGTTCAATTATATATCTATATCTTCCAGTTCCGTTTTTTTGGTCCCTCTTTGATCAACAGGTATTGCTTATTTAAAATTTCTATACATCTTCTGTATGTAGTATAAGTGTATTATGTGAAGAATAATTATTATTTATAAATTATATTATAAAACACATAGGTATGAATATATTTATATATAAAATTACAGTAAAAAATATTACGTTCTTTAGATTTTAAGTTAACCAATGTTGCTCTAGATCTAGTATTTAAATTGTGTAGGGCGGCATCGGCATCCATACGACGCGATGGCTTAAGCTATACGAAGTAGTGGCAAAGCGATTAGAAAGTTTATAATAAATATCTTAATAAATACATATGAATTTATAAAATCTCGATGTAGAAATGTAATTACATCCCAGAATATTTATTTATAAGTGATTCTTTCGGCTATTAGAAACGTAAGAAAGTAGTCTTGCAACAGGCAGGGGGAAGTCCCGTAACGCCGGACGGCACCTAGTGCCGGACACTCGCATTATCTCGAAAAGTAATAACGTGATCTATTTAGAAATCGATGAAAGAGGTGCGGGGGACGTAGCGATACAGGGTCATGGGATGCAATTTGGTAGTGACGCGAACAGACACGGTGAGAGTAGAAGATTGCTGGTTTTGGCGGTAAAGCGCTGCATCACATAAATTTCTAGTGAGTACTACTGCTTTGGTTTTGTTTTTAAATGTTCATGTTAGTTGTTAATAAAGATAATGTTCCATTGTAATTCGAAGGTTTTTAAAATTTTTTGTTAGATTTCTACAGATTTAGTATGAAACACGTAATTTTGGGGGATTTCTTGTCCCCTAGTACCGGACACGAAGATGTCCCTTAGGACCGGACAGTTTATAAGTAATTTTTTTACTAAATATTTATAGTTAATATAATAATTATTGTACGGTGTTTTAAGGGATAGCAAAACGAGCATTTATGTACAAATGGGGGAGAAGAAAAAAAAGGAAAATGGAACCAACAAAGTTTACAAACTGCAATAGATAAGCTTTTGTACAAAGAAATGAGTTTAAGGGAAGCTTCAATGCGCCGCATGTCCAAAAAGCACGTTACTGACACTACCAATAATTGTTGGATTCGCTATTACCTTTTCACTCGAATATAAGCAAGATTTAGTAGACCACGTAAAAAAATGGGGCAATTCAACGATGAAAAAGGAGTGTCTAAAGTTAGAATTAGATTTAGCGGAAGCTAGAAGATCCTCCATCATTTAGTAGCTCATTCTTGATTGCAATGCAGAACTCTCCACTGATTTTGTATCAGAAGAATCAACAGCCCCTGATAGAAAATCTACCAATGCTAAAGTATATCTAAAAGTAAATGTCTAAAGTGTGCTTAGAGGACCATGGTGAAGATGAAAAAATGCTCCAGCTGCCTAAAATTGCCTCATGAAGCATGTGCAGACAATTTTGAATTTGCAGATGCCTATATATGTGATCAATGCATGATGTTTTGATAATGTCACATACTTAGGGCTCGAAGCAAAGTCCGTCCGGTACTAGGTGCCAATGTCAAAGATTGCGTTGTGTGTTACCAAAACTTACTGAAGGTTTCTAAATATGTTTATGCAGAAATTATATTTTTGTTGATTTATTTTGATTTTATATTTTGTTGACTTAAATAATTCATAAATAATGTTACATTTTTTGTAGTAGTTTTTGTTTTATTTTCTGAAAACCTTAGATGTCCGCCACTAGGGGACTTCCCCCTAATATTTATTGTATGTCTTTTATTTAATTTAAATCAAGCAGTTTCGATTACAGATCGTATCGAGATTAAGTTACGTATATAAGCTAATATAGGCTTACCTACTACTCGGTGCGTCCTTAGGTGTCTTTTTCCACTATTTTTTTTTGTTTTATTTCAAACCGCTTAGGCAGCGTACGTCGCGCGTCGATGAAGCAACTCAAAGGTCCATTTTTCTGTTTTCAATAATATTTAATAATAATTGCTGACAGCAGCTAAAATATAACCTTAGAAAGCACACATAGGTGCCAATTAATGTAAGAAACAGAATCGGATCAGTAGTTTCTGATCCGATTCCTACATCGAAACTTACAAACTTTACCGTTATCTTTACTTTTAGTGTAGATTTTCTATTTTATAGAGATTTTTCGGATTTCGTCGGCCTAATTCGATAACCTAATAATTTCATAAGTTACTTTCAGAATTTTGATTTCTAAAAATGAAATGATATTATTCACTTTTTTCTTCGTCCTGTAAACTATGCAGATATACACTTAGCAGGTTAACGAATTAGGCCAACGATTCGTTATTCTATTTGAACAGTTTACGCTGAAGGTATATTTTAATATAGTCCTATCCTTTTGTTAGGGGTCCCGTTGGACTTTTCAAGCATCTCGACTACGAAGTGAAGTGTTTGGCATGACTTTAATGCCAGATCAGCTTCAAGTGTTAAATCCCGCTATGGTACTCCTAATGATTCCAGCCTGTCCCGGGGGTGCCTGGCCTCTATTACCTGAATTGTCTCCTTTACACAAAATGTTTGCCGGTGGCATTTTAGCTGCCATGGCTTTTGTTTGTGCAGGCATCCTTCAGATTAGTATAGAAGTAAGCCAGAAGTAATCTTTAAATATCACAGACAAATAATTTAGTATAATTATGTAATATCAGCAAACTCTAAGAATGGTTGGAATGACCACATTACTTTAGTGGTCCCGAAATTGATATCTGTCGTTTGCGGGTTCTATTATATGGACAAGAGGTGGTTATGGTTATTTTTGGTCGTCTTGATTTTCTGTATATATCTTGTATACTTTCGAATGTTCACTAACACAACTATATTCAGTCAAGTTGAGTGTAATGCATTTGTTTGTAGTGAGATGTTATAACGTGTTGTTATAAAGCAAAACAAAAAGTATTCCATTCATTAATAAATAGGTATTATACTTTATGTGTTTATAACAATAATATAAATACTTGAACGTGACATATTATTTACTCTTATATCAGCGGTCTACATTGCAAGTGCCGGGCCCCGAGCAGACAGGGCTCGTTGTATTGAACACGTTAGCCTGTTCAGTAGATGTTTCAGTGGGAAGCGCGAGCATGCGGATTGAATCGCGCGGCACTTCACTAATGACACCTTTGACATATCGCCCCTATAATATTATCGCAACCTGCCCCCGTGACTGTGCCGGCAGAGTCATGAAACAACACACCGTCAGAACAAATCTAAAAACCGTCGCTGGAATGGTACCTATTTATATATAACTTATTATTTATTATACTTAATGCATGTAAATTATACCTACTGTTCTAAATCCTCGTACAGTTATTGTTTTCTATATTATTTTCAACAACTTTAGCATCCCAAATTAAAGTCATTATGTGATATTTATTTAAGAGATTGAGTAGAATACATATAATAATTAAATGAGTTACATTAAATTTACAGTTTATGCCAATCATCATTGGACAGAATTCAGACGATGAAATATCTTTTTATTTCATGGACCCAGGTCCATTCGTTAAATCACTAACAGGAAAGCCGAAACTAAAGTAAGATTAGAGAAAGAATATTATAGTTTTAAATTTATCTAAAAATATATGTATGGCATTAGCGATTGTTTTCTCTAGTATGAATAAAATAGTCGGTGCGTTATAGACGCTTTTATTTGTATCCTCGGACCCTACATATTATATAACAATAAAATATGAAAAACTTTTGTAGAGTTGTGTATATAGGCGACACTGGCCTGAAGAAAAATGTTACTATAACTGTAGAAACCAAGAAACGCTTAAACGACATATACTATGTTTCTAACGAGCCAGTGGATCATATCGGGGAGTCAGCCTACATGTGCCTCCAGCCAGGAAAGCAAGTATCATACAATACACTATAATTAATACAATTTTACGTACTTTAATTAAGATACTTTAATAATAGCTGATACTCGTATGATAAAAATATATAGGTAAATAATAAGTAAGATTGCTGATGTCATGACTACGACATCGCTACATTTTAAAATATTAAGTCATTTAAGCACTGACTTGGGAGCATGCTTTTAAGCTAATGTTAAATTTATAATAGTAACTGTAGTAGCATATTGGCCGTTGTTTTGCTCTGGTGCGTTTATCTGTGTAGGTAGTGTACCAAATTTCATCAAGTAATAAACATACGTATACAAAAACAAACTTTCATATTTATGATAGTAAAGTCCTATGAAAATCGTATGATTAGGTTCAGCTGGCACGCAAATAGTGCAGGAGATGAATTGGGGAGCGGGGAAGGGTACCTGCGCACGGGGGGTGTGTACGTGCTGTGCGTGCGCGAGCGCCTCGGCCGGCTGGACGCGGCGGCCTTGCACGCGCCCAACCCGCCCAATGAACTGCAACTCGTCTGCATTGTGCCTCAGTACGTCCTGGTGTCTATGGCGGAGATCATGTTCGCTGTTTCGGGACTCGAATTTTCCTTCACCGAAGTATGTGTTGTTCAGTTGTGATTGCAATCAGTATTAATAACTCACATTTTCTCAATGTACAGATGAAATAAATACACCATATAAACAATAAATAAATTCGCTTACAAAATTTTCGATTACATAATCATAATAAATCAAGCAAATTCACAGATTTCGGTCGCCAGTCTGCTGCCATGGGCTAAATACGCCACTGGTTGCAATATACTAACACAATACGAGTATACCTTATGTAGATTGCATACATTAATTTTTTATTCATAAAGTGTATTTTATAATAAAAAGAGATTAATGATAAATATTTCCTTTTATAAACTCTTTATTTGAGCAAAGTGAGTACTTCATTCTTCATTTCCGCAGATAACTCTGTCTGTCGGCACTGAATCGCATTCACAACTTATATAATAATAATTAATTAGATAGAATTACTCAAACTACATATACCAATGTCATTTAATGTTCAATGTTATAAAAGCGAAAAAGTGTTTGTTGGTTTGTCTTTGTAGGTCGGAAAGGGATAGTACTGTATTATCCCTAGTGACCCTGGAAAAAAATTATAATAATACATATCTACATATTAGCTCTACTACGATTCATATAACAGGAGTAATTAGTGAGTACAATCATTATTATTTAATTTGAAATCCTTTTTGACATTCGGTATTTCACATTTCAGGCTCCTAAAAGCATGAAAACTATTACTATTGCAGCGTGGTATATGTCTGTAGCGATTGGGAACTTAATCGTCATTCTCGTAGCACAAACAAAGACTTTCGAGTCCAGAGTACGTATATTACTATTTTCACCTACATATATAACACATTATTTTATTTATTTCTATTGTCAGTTATATATTCCAGTATCGAAAATCATTGATTGTAAAGTAGGAAATAATTAAATATTTGTAAATTCGCCCAAAATAGCAACGCAAATTATTTATAGTAAGACCAATGATCGATAGTTAAAGTAAGCTTATGGTTTCGTCTACATAATACTAAATCGGCTTAACAGAACTACGAAACAATTATGCAATATTATCAATTATCATCCTGTGCTACGTTCCTGGATCTCAAGTGTATTTAATAATTATAGTATCTAATTGTAATCATAAATGCTTATTTGGAGATTAAACCACGATATTTTGTGCAATCAATCGTTTTGAACTTTAATAGACACCTCTATTTAGTTTGAGTGATGCGCTGTTAAATTAAAAAAAACATAGGTCTTCTTTTAAAACTGCACTGATTGTTGACTTTTGTTTCATTGCATCTCAGATATTCCCCAAATATTATTTTGAAAATTATTATTAAAAAACATGGAAAATCAATGTTATTATCGCTTGCTATTTAGATGAAAGAAAACATCTAAGTCTTCCTTTTTGAAAGACGTGTTAAGTTCATCAAATGTGGGCTACATTTAGCCGATGTAGTGGTCTATGGCCTGATCCCAGGCGCTCTTACCCAGCACTGGGACATTAATACCAGAATTATTCTTAATTAATATTTTAAAATAACTAACAGAGTTGCTATAGGTACCATATATTCATGATAGTTCTATTATACTACCTATTTATTGCCTATGATATAAATTAAATTTTAATTTTAAAACCTTTTAATTTAGAAATTGCAAGTGTTTAATGTGTCACGTTTTTTATAGGCGACAGAATTCTTTGTGTACGCTGGTGTGCTGACGGCCGCCATGTTGCTATTCCTTCGAATGGCTCAGGGCTATTGTTCCAGAACAATAGACGGAGACGGATCCTCTACTGAAAGCCATCCTTTATTACACTCACATTCTAGGGTTAGAAAATTTTTATGATTATCTAAAAGCTCAATCATTTTTTTAAGAATACTTTTTTTTAAGAGAACTTTCGTGTTCTATTACTATTACTATTTACATAGCTTACTTGAGACTTTAAGTATCTATTAAATTTAGACATCAATTGCTGATAAATTGTGATAGTTTAAATGTGAATTTAATATTTTTAGATTTTTTTACATTATCTAAAAAAAGGTAAACAATCGGCATTAATCATTATATTATTTTATGCTAATGCGTTGTAGAATATGTAATTTTATACAGAACAGAGTATTAACAGTCATATATGTATGTAAGCCTATAGTTTCCGTTACATAAGTTGCCTAAGTAACTTATAACGCAAACTTGCTTTGCGAATTTGTGTAGCATCAGTCCCGTCTACGTAAAGTCAAAGAAAAGGAGACCTAGATTCAAGATGTGTCGTACGTATCCGTGACAAAAGCGCAATCTGCCCTATTTACATTGTTTGCTCTCTTGTAGGTACGTGTCTCTAGAACATTATCAATAAACTTAAGCAATTCACGCTATGAATATCACAAAGTTAATTATGTCCAATAACGTGTGCTCCAGGCTATTTAGGATTTGATACCACTTTTTAGTCTTTTTAATAACTTATTATTTTTAACCAGTTTATTGAAATTTGACACGACTAAATAGGTTCTATTAAAATATTACAATTTAAATTGAATTAAATATATGTGAATGATTAAGACTACGACAAGACAAAATCTTCTTCCTTGCTTAAGTTATTATCCTAATTATTTATGAAATAAATTTAAATTATATAGCTTAACCAATATATAGCTATATATATTGCTTAAGCCATATAATAACAAATGCATCGTTTTTATTCCAAAAAGTCAACTATTATTTAGTTAATTAAACTACTAGCGGGCACATTTCAATAGGCACCCCGGTCAAAACATATTGTCCCTTAGTGAACCAATATCCAATAGTGAGTTGAAGAGATTTTCGTTAAAACTCCTTAGCAATGAAAATAAATTCGTAAATTACAAAAATATTATATTTCATTTAACATACCAATAGGTACTCTTTCTATCTGTTTCATATAGTTAATAATGAGCCATTAGATACCCGTCATAGTGTTCCAATCTGTTAGGAACGAGGGCATAACGTTTAGAATTACTTCATCTTATTTATACCTGCCATAAATAGATGAATCTAAATAAAGGGCTCGTTTATGAATAATGCTAATTTTTGGTTCCATCCAGGTTATATCGGTACATTCAGTGACTACAGGTAGTACAAGAGCTTACAGTGCGGGGGGCAGCAGTGTCGCGTCATACTTAGGTCGCTTGGAGCGGACACGTGTGCCCACCTGGCCAGCGCACGCCCTAGTGCATGTAGGCACACCTAGCACTACTGATAGAAAAGCTACGACTTTAGCTAAAGATTGACTTGCCACGACAACGAATATTTTAATTGTAATCAAAATAATTTTATAACAAAAGTACCTTATTATGAATGTTTTAAAAGTATATTTAAATTTTAAATAGAGAGATGAAGAACAAAAGTATATATTTGTACTAGCTAAATATATTGAGTGTATCAAAAATGGAGACTATTTACTACGAGCGTAAGCTGCTATTAGAACTTTTTGTCAATTGCATCTAAGTACAACTAAATGAACAAAGCCTAACTTGCATCGTCGTTGACTAACTTCTAAGATGTAATCGTACTTGATCGCTTAGTTAGTACTACTTTACTGCAGGTAGATAAACTTGGAAGCAATATGAAAGCAATTAACTATAGGTACTTGCCTAAACGCATTTTAGTTTAATTTTAATGATTTGCTTAATTTTAATATTATTTATTACAATAAAAATATTTATAATGTAATTTCTAAAATATACTATGTTTTTAATAAATGATAAATAAATCATACTAATTCCTCATATTGGTTTTTATTATAAGTAGATGATAATATTCAACAATGTTTAATAGTAACTGGGTAACCAAGCTTTCCTCGGATTTTTTCCAGAGCGATAAAAATATTACGTTTTTTTTAGAATCATAGTTCATACTAAATACAGTTTTTAGTGCTGCCATCTCTACAAGCTTGGCGGGAATTAATAAGTATTTCTTTTGACTCTAAATAATAGGGATAACTACATTGTTACGCGCCGCTAGTTTATTCGAAGACATCAAGTACGCCTTCATACAACCTCTGTGGTGTTCGTCTCCCCAGGTGCCAGGCAGGCAGGAAAAGTATGACGACGAAGACATATTGATTGACGTTTGGGCGGGACGTATGATTTTCTGTTGTGTATATAAATTTTATAAATTACTGTCAATATAACGATTATATCAGGAAAAGTGTTTCATTGTTTCACAACATATTTTATTCTATTCTAATACTAATTTGTAACAATTTATAATATTGCTAACATTGGAGAGTATCATACCATTCGTATATATCTCGTACATGTATAAAATACGATAAATGATTGATTCTCTGTTGCCATAGAGATTTGCAAGCTCTTTTGAACTGTAATCTCATATTTGATACTTGGCAATATGATTGCAATATTATGCACACTGTGAAGCATGCCTCTAGCTGTGCAATAAATGTTCCATTGAAATATCGACTACGAGACAGTTTAAACGGACCCACGTCGCTTTTATTGTTTTACTTGCAGAACCGTGGCTTCGCTTGCACTAGAACTACAAAAAAGCTCTAAAAAGTAGGTTTCATACAAACTTTTATCCCCTATTTTACCCCCTTATGGAATGAATTTCGAAAAATGCTACAACACGTACCTATTTATTTAATTGTATAATAATATAATAATAAATAGCATTAATGTCAACTTTGAAGTAATTTCATAAATATTTTTTGGGTTGTATTGTAACGTGTTTTCACATGGTAATGAGATAATCTCCCGCGATAAAAACTAAAAAGTAGCCTATGTTACTCTCCAGCCCCACAACTATATCCACACAAAAAATCACGCCAATCCGTCACTCTGTCTTGACGTGAAAGAAGGACAAACCATAAACGAACTAACCACTGGACCAGACATATATAAGCGGACGTACCTTTACCGGTCTTGTCAGTAACCAGGGAATTTTAGCCTTGGTCGTTTGTTTTTTGTGTCAGTCTCAAGCACTTACTTGTCAACAAAACATCTCCCAAAAATGACTAAATGTTCTGTTAAATGATGTAAAAACTATAGCGGCGGATGCAGCACTATTTCTTTTTACTTGTAAATACATCATTTTATTACATTTATTGTTATCACAAAATTTAATTAAATGTAAAATAAAATGTCATATTATCCAACTATGTTAAATATAGTCGATATTTCTATGTATTGTTGACATCTGACAACCATCATAAAATGGCTGGATTATACCATTTAGAACAAATGACAAAACTGTCGAGTGAGTCCATTTGACATCGACTAGTGCTTGACAATGTCGAAAAATATATCGATATTTGACGAAATAACTGAACGAATTGTGTTATTTGTACAGTACAATAACATAAAATACTTTTATCACAGTATCCTACAATCTGATGACAATAAATTTATAAAAATATTTTCTAAATCAAATAAAAATATAAATGCAAAAATTATAATTTGTATGTGTACTTAATTTTTTATTTTATTTTATACCACATTTATATACTTTGGAATATTATTCCATTGTAATAATAATAAAGATCATTTTATTTCAACACATAAATTACACAAATTCAAACAATAATGTTTTAGCACTAAACTTCTGGGTTGGCGATTTGTAATAAAACACTTTACCAATAGCACTAATTATTTTACTTTCACGATCCAACACTCACTTTTTCACAATTTGCAATCACTTTTACTTTTTCCTAATTTCACAAATGTTTATTAAGAACTGAGCAATATTAGGACAGTGTCACATTTTTATAACTATCCGAGACAACCAATTGCCAATTAAAATAGTTCAATAACAGAATCAACAAAATCACTTTATTTAATTAAATTAGCTTAATATTTTTTTAATCTTTACAATATAATATTTATTATATATTAATGGAATATACGCCCGATATTCATTTGTATATTAACATTATTATAGGCCAATAGAATGTTGCCATCAATGCCATCGTATTTATAAAAAACAAATTAAAAAATAATTATTATTTTACACATTATTATTGCCTCTTTAATTCATGTATTTTTATTTATTATAATAAATACAGATATTTTAAATTAAAAGATGTAAAATATGATGACTATGCTAACCAATGTCTAAAATGTCATTCATTGGTTCATCGATATATGTATTTTATCGATTACGTTCAAGCACTAGAAATATTGTATTGTGTATCAGTGTTTATAATAATGTAATAAAATCTTTGTGTGCGTTATGCGTCACTTGGTTAAACTAGTTTTCATACATTTGTATTTTATGTCAGGTCCAGTCTCTAATTCGTTCATGGGACAAACAAACAACAATGGATTCTACATAAACAGACTTTGTAGTAATCAAGTTTTCATTTCGCCAACTAATAATTTAATTTAAAAGCTATAGAAATAAAATATCGGTATACTTGGTCCTACGCTTTGTTGCAAGCAAAATAAGTTGGGAATGAAAGATTTTCCTGTACAAAAGGTAGTCTAAATATCGACCCGAGTAATAAGTTATCACATCGCTCTGCTCCTTACATGTGGCTTACATAAACCTTTCTATAAAATAAATGTCTATTAAATAATTCTTTTTTTTTATTGGGAGTGCGTCAGGTGTGGTTTAAGTATAAAAAAATAGGCAAAACAAAAAAAAACAGCTGGAAAATAGTAAAGTTCAAAACTGTTTATTTCGTATGGGAATCACTAACTGCTGAACCGTACTTAGCGACGAACCCGAGCAAAGCGAGGGTGAGGCGCTAGTTTATAATATTATAAATATGAAAGTGTGTTTGTCTGTCTGTCTGTCCGTCTATCCGTTTGTTTGTTTGTTTGTTTATTTGTTAGTTAGTTTGTTTGTTAGTTTGTTTGTTTGTTTGTTTGTTTGTTTGTTTGTTTGTTTGCTTGTCCTTCTTTCACGATGAAACACAGCGACGGATTGGCGTGATTTTTTGTGTGGAGATAGTTGGAGAACTGGAGAATGACTTTGGCTACTTTTTACCGCGGGAGATTATCTCAGTTTCACGGGAAAACACTTTATAATACAAACCATAACAACTCATCATACCCGAGCGAAGCTAGGGTAAGACGCTAGTATATTTTTAAAATAATTTACTATTAACTATACCGTCAACCTCATTGAATTGGAAGTTGTCAATAAAAGAAATAGTAGGTAAGCGTAGCTGTCCAAAATGAAAGCTATTTCGGTAATTTTATGTTAGTACAAATATTATTTGTAAAACACTTAATTAATATTTATTAAAATACATTCAAATAGCAATTTCATTTACATGTTTAACAATATTTTGATAGTGCTTTGGACTTCCCATTGTGTAAGCCAAAGAGTAAATTCGTCGGATAAAATTAAAAAGGAATCAGACGCACTGTTTGCGGCTACCGGATATCCTTTGACAGGCGATATACCTATACTAAATCGCAAGGTTATAATAATCATAGAGTATGGTAAAATTTAATAATAAATATTAGTTTTAATATTTTAGAAAATATACTCAGTGTAGAACAAAACATCTTTAATTATTTTCGCGTTTAAATTTTTTTCTTTAGCAATTAACGATCCAACTAAGTTTTGATTAGTGACAATAAATATTATCTATATCTATTTTCAAATTTATATATAATATAATAAAAAAACTGCATTGTGAGAGTATACTAATATCACTAATATGTAAAACCTAAGAATTTGGTTTTTGGTCATCTGAACGCGGGTGGAGCCGCAATGCTAGTTAGTTATATTTAATTTATTTCTTATAGGCACACAAGCGATTCAACCTCGCTTCGCTCGGCTTCGTCCCTAGTTGTATACGTTTTATCGGTTTGTATTAAATTGATAGACAATATATCTGTATCTATATATAGTAAAATTCTGAGTTGAATCTGTACATTAAATACGTTTTGGAAAATCTTATTGAAATAGTCAATAAGTAGATAGGTAATAATTATCGATACAGAGGCCGCGTTATATCTCAATGTGTAGTACAATTAGCAACTTCTAGGCTAGATCTGTATCAAAGCCTTTGTAAGCTCAAACTTGTAACTCCAACTATGTATTATCATTGTAGATAAATGCTGCAAAAGCACTAAATATTTCGAGAGTATATTTCGCTTAGTCCCAAAGCTTTATAATAGAAATTTTCAGCCAAACTTTACTTTTATGAGCATAAATAAAAATATACTTAGGTATAACTATCATCAATTACTTTATTTTTAAATGATATTCTATGACTTAATTGTTAAGTAATTATGTTGTGATATTTAAGTAC